CATAGCTTTATATAATTAATTGCCAATTGTAGTGCTTAATGTATTCGTTGTTGTTATTTGTGTTTGTTTCGACATCAGATTTTTATCAGCGTCTGGATTGTACAAACGCTCCTATTAGTAAACGGTGAGTTTTTATGCCTTTTCAATATCTAAATAAATGTTATGATTTTAGGATTGGGTTAAAGGAAATAAGAAATACCAAATATATGTACCTTTTAGGCAAAATCGCAGCAACTTTGCATGGATGATATTGATATGATCGGTTATACGGTCATACGTCTTAGGTATCCACAAGGATAGGATCTTATTCTGGTTAAGACAATTTGTACCCAAACATATTACATGTATATACATGTGCATTACTACATTAAGAATTCAAAGAATCATATGCATGATAATAAGAATTATGGAATGGAAGTGGTTGCGTGTGCTTTTTATGAGAAACCGTGATTAATACATGCTTGATTTTAAATTTTTACTCCGATAATCTCCTACATGGTGATGAAAACGTGTTGGCTCAGTCAGTAGAGCGTCCGCCTCACAACCGGGGAGGTCGTGGGTTCGAACCCCGGCCGCGTCATACCAAAATACGTTAAAAGATGGAAGTTGCTGCTACCTTGTTTGGCGTTCAACAATACTGGATAGAGCAACGTCGATCTGGCGCTGCTCAGTGGCTGCCGGGCTCACGATCAATTGGGCAAAAAGAATTTCCGTTTCGGTTTAATAAATTTGGAGTGGACTAAAAGATTATTATTGTTATTATTATAACTAATTGATCACTTGTGCTATGAGTTTGAGAATGTATGGAATTCCAGTTTAAAACAAAGCAGTAAAATTTGATTGACCTAAGAATAAAACGATTGTACTTACATACAACAAATGCTGTGATTATACTAGTCGTGTGTGTATGTAGGTAACTTAAGATCATTGTTTTTTCTGTTTTTTCTTATCTAGGGGTAAATGGTCATTGTCCTGAATCGAATCCATGCCCTTCTTCATTACACCATGATGGTACGGCTGTCAAAGGTGTGGTCTTTGACGGATCATCAACAATAACAGCAGAGGATCCTAAGATAGTTATTTGCAAAACACCAGGTGCGGGTAAACATATTTTAAAGACAGGATCACCCTGATACTCACAACAGCAATATTCCATATTGTATAACACGGTTCTAGCCAGTTCACGGTTGCAGAACGAATTGTGAAATACCCGGAGACGAAATACTAGATACCTGCTCATGAAAGTTATGTAATCATTATTCATTCATGCACAAGCAACTGTACTCCATGATACACAGGTGGAAGTATTCTTTGAAAAGAGAAACAAAGGCTATTTATGTAGCACCTCTATCGCTGTAGGAGTGATCATTTCAAAATGTACAAAGTGGGACCTCTTCATGTTTTGAAGATCTGTGGATATTCGGGGTCATTGCAAAGATGTGCTAACCGTGAACTGGTCTACTACCACCTGGGCATTCACCCCCCCCCCGGAAAATTACCCACCGGAAAACTTTCCCAAAGGACAATTACCCCCCAGAAAATTAACCCCGGAGAATTCCCCCCCCCCCCAAGGATAACTATCCCCCGTTGAACAATATCTTCCTCATTTCTACACATTTCCCTTGATTATAGTTTATGCAACGCCAGTGCGGTCCCTGATTTCCACGAAGAATACAAGTTTCAGGATAATTGTCCTGCGCTCCTCAAAATGCATACAAATATATTTCTTTGGAGCAGCGTTATTTCAACTTTTTGTTAGTAAGGATACCCTCTTAAGAAATGAAAAATATCTCCCAAATCCAAAAGTCTTCATAGACTATTTATTTTGCATAACTCTGGCACTTGTGCTATGTACACACGTATGGGCGCATTTAAGAATAAAAAAGGAGAAGACATTTTCAAGCTGGTAACAATTTTTTTTTGGTTATCAACATACTAGAAACGATTTAAAGTACTGTATGCGGGCACCTTGACGCCGAATGTACATGAATAAAAAGTGATATATTCGAATATGAGGATATTCAGGCCTCTCGTTGCCCTTATTTATCATGTTTTCAAATGTAATGAGCGTGGTAACAATGTAATCTCGAAATACAAGATTTAATATATACTCGGGCGCCTTGCTGTCAAAATATTATCAGTGAGCGAGGAAGAAAGAAACTTTATTGTTTTTTTAATTTAATTTCCTCATGTTACTACATAGGCCTACTCTAACCGTTTCTGATATTTTTTTTCTTCACAAAATCAACGTTTTCCAAACGAAACCAACATTTTCTTGTGGCACCCCGGTTGAAAAACGCTACGCTGGAGTTACAAAATCAAATGAGATGAATTACCAGAGAGCGGATCTTTATTTTCTGTCCTCGAGGGTAACTAAACTCGTAGGGTAGTTGTCCTCGGGGGGCAATTTTCCAGGGGGTAATTGTCCTTGGGGGTAACGTCCTCGGGGGGTAATTCTCCGGGGGTAACGTCCTCGGGGGGGTAATTCTCCGAGGGGTAATTTTCCGGGGGGTAATTGTCCTTGTTCTGATACGGTATAAAACACTTTGTATTTGTCTCTATCATAATAAACATGATGGTATTAATAATAATAATAATAATGATAACTTATCTTGAAGCCTCATCAGTATTTATACTGTTTTTCGGGAGGGCACTGCAGTCATATCATTAACCTGACTTGAGCCGAGCTACAACAAAAAGGTACTCAACCATTAATACTCAACCATTAAAGGAAATATCTTCCTACCGGGTACCCATTTACCTCACCTGGGTTGTGTGTGGAAAATGTAGATTAATATCTGGCCAAAAGTCTATCGGTTTCCAAAGTATAAATCGATACAAATTAACCTGACCTAGATTTCTGAAACTAAAGTTTTATAATTGTCATTACATATCTAAATTGGAACGTCATTACGGTAACATCTGCGCATTTTGATAGAGACATATGCATATACTTTAATAAAAAGTAATAATATAGGTGTCATGGTCTAGTTTATACGCCCCAGACAGGTTCAAGGCTCGAACCCCCCCCCCCCCCCCATAGCACTAATTTCTTAATTCAGGTTACTAGTATGATGCGTTAACCAACGCTATTTCTTCGAAAAACAGAAAAAGGTCGTTAATGAAATAACTTGAAACATTGCTAACATACAAACAAAATACCGAGGTTCACCGGAATCGACTAAGGCACCAAGCTTTCCTAGAGTGCATTTGAAAACGGGACATGCAATTTACATCCGGGCATTGTGGGGTTATTGGCAATAGCGAGAATTAAAGACCATAGTTTGTAGGCGTCTTGAGCATCTTCGGGAAAGGATATGCTCGTGATATAAATGTATATATTTTCATTATTACTTTTATTATTATTTAGTAAGTATGTTTGCAAATAAATCACTATATTATTCATTAATTAATTTATCTATTTATTTGTTTAGTGTAGTACTTTGTCATGACAATTAACGTAGGGCTACCATTCACCGACATGAAATTTGACCACCTGTTTAGAATACAGCCTCCCTACCTATTAACTCCGGCAGTCTTTTTTTAGCGCACAGTGTATTAATACGAAACATATTATAGATAGGTACGCTATTGAGATAAAGCAAGAAAGCATACCAAGCTGGGCCTGTATGACAAACATGACATCTGCGGGTTGGTGGGTGTCTGTCCGCGCGCGCGCGCGTGTCTGTTTGTGTCCGTTCGTGTAACTTTGTTTTCAAACACACTTTAATCAGTCTGTAAATCAGCATTATAATGATGTATAGGCCCATCCACAACTTTATGATAGTTTGCATAATTCTTTCTTATGCCTCATGTTCAGAATACTTTTGTTCACCTAACCCCTGTCGCAATGGAGGCACATGCATAGCTTCTCCTGGTCATACACCAACCTACACATGTCAGTGTGATCTGGGATACGATGACACAGATTGTGGTAAGTACCCGGATGAGTTACTTCTGTTCAACGACATAAACAGCTTCAAAACACGAAATTCAAGTCGCCATAGATGTAATTATACAAATACATTTTCTTATTTCCTTTTTTTTGTTTGTTCATTGGTTTGTTTGTGCTCCTCGCAGATGTTTCTGTACAACTACTTATTGTCAACCCAAAGAAGACCGGACTCTGGGTTGCAAATATGAGTGACTTCGTATTCTCGAGTTTCATAGAGCTCGAGGGTTGTGCCAGGATCGGAAGGATATTTTTTGATAACAGGGCTAACGCACTCTTTTGGGAAAATCTTGCGACTCCTGGTTACTGGAAAACGGTTTTCTATAGTATGGATTTCGACGTTTTGATGTATAAGTTAGGAATGCCAAACAGGACACTAATCTCCAATAGACAGGAAGGTATAGTTGCTAGAAGTCTTATCTCCTAGTGACAAAATTCAAAATGACAATTTGTATTGAGAAGTACTTTTGTGAAACGGCCCAGAAACATGCCAGTAGACCGACAACCTACGATATCGGGAACCCATCCCAAAAATTTGTGAGCTGTCGCCCTTTTTTGAACTGTTTTGAATGCCGACGTTATCGGTCCCAGGGTCTGTGGGTCTCATGGAATGTAGCCCCAAAGAAGCATGTACATCTTGAATGCGTCAATCGTTCTTCCTAACGTTTGTATTCTTCATATTCAAGTGATATGGATATTACTGAGGTCTTAATACTGCAGATATTAGAAAGTTTAAACAAGTAAGAGTTAGAACATATAAGTAATCATCTAAAATTCGAAGCTACTCATGGATGGCTTGGCTCATGGACAAGTACACCCCTATCGAAATGATAATCTGAATGTCTACTCGATCTCAATACCATTTATAATTCGAACCCCTATGAGCATAATTATTCAACGTGAATTTGGTATCAATCATGGCTTTGTTTTAATCAATGATATTGGACGTGTTTTTAAAAGTTATTTTTTATAACCTAAGCAGTATGCTTGCCTACGTTGACCTCTTATTTTCTACTCTCTGTACATTGTCATGCTGTATCAGCTTTATTTCCTTGTCTCACCATGGACGTGAAGAAGCAGGAGCTTTACTGGGCAAGTTTTTACAAGGGATATAGGCGGCGAACCGTAGGAGGAGAAGAAGCCCTGAAAGGAATTGTTAACGATTTAGGCTGGATACCTGGGAGTGCAAGGCCCTATCAGTGTGTCATTGATCAACAACGGAGGTAACCTTTTCCAATATAGATGTATATAAACCCCTATTCTTTTTTTAGAAACTCGTGTATGATTGATTATATATCTGTTGTTATGGCATAATCTTTGCTAATTTTTTTGTGGAATATATTCATGTTGAAAATGATACCACATTTGTTATGGTTTTCAGTCATGGAATGTGCAGTAGATTAAGACAAGGGAGAAAGTGAAAAGTTGCAAAATATACTGCTCTTGGTCGATTGTGGATTCAAATCGCTAAATTGCCCAGGCCTTCTCGACAGCTGTGAACCTGACATGATGCTTGAGAAATTTGATTACTAAACAGTAGCGAAATGCCTGACATGACTTGTCATATCGCATGACTTTTAAATTTTATATTCCTATATTTCGGCATTCATAGATGACCAGTTAGGACCAATAGCTTCAAAGTCATTCAAATGGCAAAACAATACCAGTGCTTACTAGTTCATTCTGCAACAAGTCACCCTTTCACTTGTTCCTTATCCAGATGTACCTCTAACTCCATGGCTTCAACACCATAATAAATTAAAAAAACGATTGTACAAACATATTTTAATGATAAAATCGAAGCGATGATTAAGCCATGATAAGAGAGCTGAATTCTATCCAACCTGAGTTTTCAAACTTTCTTTTAGGAATTCATACGAATATTGAGGCAAACGGTTAAAAAAATGTGTATTACAAAGTGTTTTTTATTGTTTATTTTTTCCTGTTTTTCGTCTCTACTTCACCTGCTGTTGTCTCTTTCAAGAAAACCTCTTTAATAGCTAAATACTTATCGTGAATATAGTAACAAAAGAAGCAGAAGAGAATACTCTAGAAGAATATCTCTAATAAGTCCACTTTTAAAATCATTCTTAAAACATTCGGCAACGGATTTTTATTTTCTGTTTCGCTCTGGACAGTGATAGTAAGCAAAAAATTACCGTTGGTGAAGGTGATGGGACAAACTATCACTTTCGAGGCGATCTGGATGTAGCTATTTTTCCGAAGCGATCCTGAGGAAAGATAGCGTATACATTCAGATCGCCGAGGAAGTGATAGTTTGCCATCGCCTGAAACCAAAAGGTGATTATTTGCTTCATATTCCACATCGCAAACATTTCACTTCTTACATCATTTTAAAGCAACACGTCATCAATTAACAGCTAACAAACGGTGTACGAAACGTACAGTGCATAACGTATGGTGGTGTGACCATAGTTCGCGCGTGACCAAAGTTTGCGTACTAAAGGCCCGGTCTCACCGCCAGAACTTTGCTGGAGCGTTCCTTGAACGGTAGGGAGAGGGGGCCGAATTTCGACAACGCTCGTCACCGCGCACAAAATGGGAAACAAATCGAAAACACGGGCGTTGCCTTAGCGGTGCACCGCTGAAGCCGGCGTTGCTTTAGCGTTTGTTTAACGGTAGCGAGCGGTAGCGAGCGTTGGTCCCGCTCCGACACCTCCATACCAACGCCAAACCAAAGTTCATCACCGCAATGGATCGCTGCTTCAACGCCCGACACCGTTCCAGCAATCCCGTGTCCGCTCGTAAAACGCTTACAACCGCTCCACCAAAGTTTGTGCAACGTTTAATCACCGCCCGGGCAAAGCTGGCGAAGCAGCGGTGGTCCAGTGTTCAAGATTTCTGCGTTGGCCTAGCGGACCAAAGCGTCCACGAACTTGCGTCTAGCGGTGCCAAACTTTGACTGGGCGTTGTTGGAGCGGTGGTGAACTTTGCCGGAGCGGAAAATTGCCCGCTCCTCACCACTCGCAATATTTTGTGCAGCTCAAAACTTTCGGAGCAGTAGGAGAGACCATCAGCGGTGGCCGAGCGTATACGGCGTTGCCTTAACGGGGGCCAACTTCTGTTAAACGGTGGTGAACGGTTACGAGCGGTGATGAATTTTTTTCACCGCTCCAGGAACGCTCCAGCAAAGTTCTGGCGGTGAGACCGGGCCTTAACACTAAATGCGCTTGAAGAGGAGAGCAATACGGAACGTTTACAATTAAAGTGCGTTGCACTGTGTAGATAATATTATATTTTTGATCAATGAAATCCTGTTCAGTGATTGGTCAACATAGCATCATGCGGCCAATTTCACACTTCTTTCATTCAAGTTCATATTCCGAGCATTTGAATTCGCGCAATTCGCACTCGCAACGTTGAATCAGCTTTCAAATTCAAAATCTGTCATTCAAATTCACTATCCGTGCAATCCATTGTTAAATCGGATCATTCAAATGTTAACTAAGAACGTATATTTCGTGTAAGGAGTATTCAAATAAGCCAGTTCGTAAATAGCTTCGGACCGCATGACCCCCAAATATCCACAGATCTTTTACACCATGGATACGTCCCACTTGTACATTTTAGAATAATCACTGTCGAAGTGATGGAGGTGCTTCATGAATACCTTTTGTTTGCCCGCTTGAGAAGAATACTTCCACCTGTGTATCAGATAAATGTACTGTCGATACATAAATGAATACTAATTACATAACTTTCATGAGCACGATACGAGTATTCGTCTCAATGGTTTTACAATTTGGGAACGAATGACCTTTATCTACACATGCGCAAACCCTAATTACGAACGCGCTTATTCATCTAATGCCGGCTACAGTACCTCGTTGGTCATTCAAATTCAAATTCGTGAATGAGCAAGCATGTTTGAAACAAGTGCATTCAATTTCAAAACAATATATTGCGTTTAGTTTCTTCAGGATCTTTGAGAAGCTTTTTTTGCTCAGTTTGTGAATACTGTAGGCTTCGTTATCATGCCATTTGCATTGTCTTTGTTAATTCTCATTGTTAACTCTCTCAACTCACAAAAAGGTAAACACGTGAATATATAACTTGTAATATTACTCATGGCACACACACATAACAAAAAGGTGTATACAGTACTATATGAAAACTGCAGAAACTGTTAAAGAAATGTGGTCGAATTTTGTGTGAAGTGTCATAATTATCACAGGATCCAAAACGACACTCGGGTACTTTATCCATTTTAACTCATCAAATATTGTACAAATATCACCCTTTCGTGGCATATTCAAAATATATAATCGCACATACATGTACCAAGATATGCCTAAAATAAGAACAATTCAAACTGTTAGTTTATTTTGTGGAGGACGCGGTGTTATGTCTGAGTATTGTAAAACTGTGTATGCTGATCTTAGTATGGGTGAAGTGTACTTGTTCTTGTATATAGTAGGGGGTGTTATCCGTGTTTAATAATGTGTAATTTCATCAAAAAAGTGTATCTTTATAGGAATTATCTTTGGATCCACAGGTGACTGGTATTCAGCTTATCCTATCTGATTAGGCCTACATAAAAGAGGTAAAAATAAATATATAAAGAAAACATAAGGGGGGGGGGGGCTGGTAAAGAGGAAAGGGGAGAACAGTTGAGGGAGAGATAAGAGAGAAACAGAGAGCGACAGAGAGTGAGAGAATGAGAAGAGTGTGAAGTGGGAGAGAGAGAGAGAGAGAGAGAGAGGGAGAGAAAGGGGGAGAGGGAGAAAGATTTGGGAGAGACAGAGAGCGAAAGTGAGGGAGAGTATGGGGGAGGGTGACATGGGAGGAACATAGAGAAGGAGAGAGAAAGGGCGTGATAGGGACAGAGAGATAGATAGAGAGAGAGAGAGAGAGGGGGGGGGGGACAGAGAGAGAGGAACAAAAACACATAACTGGCATATTAACATCATACAAAAGAACAGTTTCATTGAAAAAGTCTTTTCATTAAAGTTTGAGGAAATGCGTTTCAAAGTCATCGACTTTTTAAAGAAATTGAGGGACAATGCATTCCGCAGGAATATTGCAGACATCACCTCAAAACCACTAGTTTTTGTTTTAAAACTCTATCACTGTTTCCACTTATTCAGAACGTGTATATTGAAAGAAAGGTGTAGTACGAGATATTCATGTTTATATATAATAAGCAATATGATAATCAATTATATACCTCACTTAAGAAATCCAGCCATCTGATTGGTCGAAATTGCATTCATAAACTTTAACTATTTCTGTAAAATTCCCAGTAACCATGGTTAAAACAGTTCTAAAATCCCAGTAACCATGGTTACCGGGAAAATAGTTCAGTCTCCATGGTTACCCCATAGGTTTACATGTTAAAAAATGGTTTGAGCGATTGAGGATACCGTACGTGTGCGAAGAATTGGTCGGTATTTTCATACAAGACAAGACAATTCCAAACAAGACAAAAATGGCTCAAGAAACTCTCCCAAGATTTCAACTTATCAAATGCAAGACTCGCTGACAGCAAGAACAACAAAAAGGGTACGTGAAATTATCCATAAACATGTTCGTTTAGTTGCTGAAAAAGCATAGACGTAGACTCTAGACGAAAATAGATCTAGTTGTCAGGGTGTCTGATCGCGCACGATATTGTGTGTTAAAATTCTTCTCATAGAGTTTGCACGCAATGCAGTCGCTATGCAGTCTACGTGCATTGCGCGACCATGTAAAAAAAGTCATTTTTTTTTCTTCAATTCGAGATTCAAACCTTTATCTCTTGTGATCCTGAAGGTGATACCAATAAGTGAGGTGTCATTATGAAAGCGCAGGTTCTTCTCCATATTACCCACAGGGCCGGCCCACCCCCAAAATTGTAAAAAATATCTTGCTTAGACTAGAATCTAGATCTAGTCTACTCTCAAAGATACACTCATAAAAAACAACTGTGCAGATAAACTAGAGAAAGGCCAAGGTGGTGTCATTAGTTGACTCTTTTGTTTTCGGCATATAAAAGTATTAATGACTGCTTTAATATTCGAGAAATAGTTGTTTTTATACGCTCTCGGGAAGGTTACAATTGGGCCCTTGAGCGTATAAAAACAACTATTTCTCTCAAAGCAGTCATCAATACTATAATACATTATATAAATATTGTCAGATAAATAAAGTACATTAACTAAACTGTGGATATTTCATTGTGTAACAGTGATTAATAATAATTAGAAATAATCTATTTAATAAAAATTAAAAAATCAAACTTTCCTTTTATAATCTGGAACCCCTCTCACTATTACACTAAATTGAATGTACGTAGTAGGAATTGAATGCTCAAACAGGCTCATCGTGAGCGCCGCGTTAATTTGATTTCACCGAAGATGAAGAGTGCCGATAAATTAGATTGATTGCTCGGATTTTGAATTTGAATGCCCGAATAGACCATTTCGTAGTTAGCACATGTGCCAAATGACCCCAAATATCCAAATATCCAAATATTACTCGTGGAGAAGTCCCACTTCGTGTATTTAAGAATAATCAATGCCAAAGTCATGTATGTGCTTCATGAAAAAGCTTTTGTTTGCCCTCTTGTATCATAAAATGTACCGTTACGTAGGTGTACACATGAATAATGATTACATAACATAAAAAATATTCATCTCGGTGGGTTTTACAATTTTATCACAAATGACCTTTATCTGCCCATGCGCAGATAATATTTACGAAATGGCTTATTCACCTGCGAGCGACCTCTATGTGAAATTGAATGCACGTTCATGAATTTGAATTTTTAAAAATGTGAAATTGGCCGCAAAAACCTATACTATCTACACAGTGCAACGAACTTTTCTTCTACCATCAATGATGGGCGAACTGTCTTTCAATACGTGATTTACTTTTGACCAATCGTAGATCCAGCGCCACGGGACCAGCAGAGTAAGCACTTGAAAAGTGCTCTAAAATGTCGTCGTTAGAATGTATTTCGAGTTTTTATGTAGCAAAAGTCCAAGTCTTTATGTTTCTTTTCTTTGGGCGGGGATGGGGGGGGGGGGGGGGGGGGGGAGAAGTGTAGCCCACCTTCAGTGATTCAACAGATTAATGATATATATTGCGTTCTTGATGGTGAACAGAATATACTGGCCTCTCTCATTTCCCTCAAAATATTTGGTAATTATTACACTACACCAGGTTTTCGCCAAAATATTCTACGAAAAGCACATTAAGCACAAAACAAACAAACAGTCATCCGCCTAGACTGGAGTCCAAGCCACAATCACTTGTTCAACAAGCAGACCTTCTACTGATTTAGCAAGAACATTTGGAGTTACCCAGCACTTTTAAATTGCATGTTTTAGAAGAGGTTTGACGCAAAATCGTGTTTAGAATGATTAAAATACCATGTACTTTAAAATTTTACATGACACTTGATAACATTGAAACGAATTGGTGTTCCAAATAATTTATTTCCTTTCTCCACAGATATTTCTATACCATCGGGTATCAGACGATTACTCGATTTCATCTAGACAGTTTGCATTCCGAAATGATTTCATCAGATTTAGCTACGGGTTACGTTGACGGATTGACAATAGATGAAAAAGGTAAAAAGTAACATAATGACAGGAGTTGGCCCCGAGGACACCCACATTTTCCCTTTAATTTTAGTCATTTTCACTCAAATGTAAATTACTTGCGTTCCAATAGATGCGAATTTTGAAATTGGGACTTAAGAATGAAAATTGTCAAATTCTCCTACAAGACCAAGAGGCTGTCCTGAAAAATCACCCAATCAAGCCCATAATATTTTGAAAATCATAGCATGCTTTATTATAAAGATATAAATTGATATTAATAGTGCGATCAAGAGATTCGTACTTCAGAATGTAATTTAGTATGATATAATTTGTCATATAACTTACAGGTTAGAATCATTGATTCATAGTTGATATCAAAATAAATTCCCAACCGATTTTATCTTCTTCTCGATCTCATATCTACATGTAGTATACAGAATCAAGAATGAAATAACTTTACTGATACCCTATAGTGTAAACTATTTTATTTGAAATAACTTAAGATACCAATTATTACGTAGAATGTTATGAAAAATGACCCATTATTAAATGAAACACTTCCAGCTCAACTTTTGTCCAGAATCTGACGGATTTAATTTTTAATCTCCACCACCAATATCTCCCCCTAATGTTTGCTGCAAGCCGAATATGACATAATCCCCGAATCTCTTCGCCCGGCTGGGCATACCCGATACGTACAGATTCTTAGATCGCGTCATCTTCGGTTTTCGGCAGGTAGGAGGTGGAAGAGATCGTGATCGTGAAATAAGATAACCGTCCAGATTCAGGACTAGCTAAACATATGCTCATTTGAATTTTTGTAAAATGCTAAAAGCATGGGCAATAAAAGATGAACACTAATACTATGTCCATGGGTGTCGATCCGTAACTGATACCTATTCATCAGGGGGGGATGATCTATTCATTCATCCCCCCCTGATGAATAGGTATTACGTAAGTATCGACACCCATGACTATGTCCCTTTTGCAGCCAACGTCGAATTCTGTAGAACTTTGAAGGAATGATAAACATGTCCTATCTATTCAATTCAAGAGTTCTTTATTCGCTTTAAAAAGCACATATAAAAAAATAAAAAAAAAATATACAATATATTCTACAAATAGGCACATTCACAATATATGTAAAGACAAAAAAAACAACATCAACAACAGAATACATGTATAACAGGGTAAGATCAGAGTGTGCATAAATACAAGATAATTTCCTCGCACTCCTCTCGGTTAAGGAAACCCTTACATAAATAATCATCCCTCGAGTTGATCAATTCCTTTACTTGTTCAACTATGCGTATTGTCTCATCATTCACTTGGCATTGCACAGCCCACTGCTTTTGAATTTCATTGTTATCCATGAAGTACTTATCATTCAAGAATCTTATGTTACCTCCCAACACAGAATGAGCTCCATACCTGGCCATTCCAGCTATATGTGCCACTGTATAATTTTTGGAATTCATAGCTTTCACAACAAAAGATAAACATCTTTTTGCAAACCATAACTCTGGATCCATAACACCTGCTAAATAAGGCAAAAGATGACAGTGTGTCTGCCATGGAATTTTCCAAACCCTTCTTATTGCAACCCGCCATTGTCTACAAATATTATCAAAACATTTATCAAACAGAGGATATAACTGTGAGCCATAGAAACTCGAACAATATTTATGAAACAATATATTTCTTATGTGAGAGTTAGCATATTTGAAATTAAACAAAAACATATTACATTGTCGATTGAAATCTCCAACACACTTTGAGATATCAAAATCATTTATATTCTTAGAAATATCATTCCCTAGATGAGTTACTTTTGATGCAATATCAATATGTCTTCCATTTATCGTGATTCCTGGATCCATAACTGGTTTACCATTACAGCTGAAAACTATTAACTGACTCTTTTCAGGGTTAAACAGAATATCAAATTTAATGGCATAATCTAAACAAGTTTTAATCATTTCTTGAAGAGCAGTCACGCTAGGTGACAGCAGTGTCAAGTCATCTGCATAACCAAATGCTCCTGCAAAAACATTGCCCATAAAGCACCCTATCCCATTGTCACATAACTCTTCTATCAGCCCATCTAGATACAAACAGAACATGCAAGGAGAGATAACTCCACCCTGTTTAACACCATTTTTAACTGTAAAATAATCAGAATATGCATTGTTCCATTTCAGCCTTAGCCTTTGATTCTTATACATATTAAGCAATATGGAAATTATACGTCAGCAGCGTCCTAATATTCAAATTATGCAACGAAACCCGTTTACGTTCTAGACGTCACTGACAGACACTATTGAGTGTCTGACTACACCTTTTTTCTTTGGTAATAACTTACATAAAATGAGCCGTAACAGGTAGATGAGCATTTGTCTACCTCAATAACCCACTACTTTTAATGGCCAAAATTAAACTGATTGAATCTTTGTGCAACACAAAACGTACGGCTATTCGGTAAAAGGGTCTGAAAATTAGACTATTACTTAGGTGATTGTAATCACTTAAGTCGATCCGACAGCTAATGGTCTTTATTTTCCCACTTTAAGACATTTTCAAGCCCTTTCGTTTTGTGGGAAGTTCTAATTTAGTATTGTCTTCACAAAAAAAGTTATTAATTTCCCCATATCCTTTTGCTTTGGGTTAAGCCTTTACATCATATGGATAATTATTATTTCTGCTAAGAGCTACCAAAAATGTACAAACATGAAATGTAAGATATTCCCCGGTAAAATATCTCCCCCCCCCTCTTATTGTCTTCTATTTTGATAGGCAGGAAAACAAAAAAAATTGACTTCACAAACATGTCTTAAATACTTGTTCGACTGCCATTTTAATTTGTTTCTTTTACAAATCACGCATTTATATTACAAAAAGCATTAGCGAGAAATGATGAATACTATGAACCTAATGGAGCAATTTACAAATCTATGAAGGATATGAGCATAAGTTTGGGTTAAAACAAAATCTTTTCTTCTTTTCTTACGCAGGAGAACAACTGTTTTGGACATCATCAAGATACATCATTTACTCGTTCGACTTAAAGAATGGCCTTGGACCGTTCACATTACTAAACCTAAAAAGTTTGAAAATGTATCCTCATAGCATATTCTTCGTATCTGGGTGGCTTGTTTGGTATGACCGGAAGCAGGATCGGGTTTGTGCTGCAAAAGCTAAAGTAGACGCTGAAATTAAATTATGTCGTTTTACCACTTATGATGGTAATAAGCCCAACATTTATGTATCTCGGGCAGACGGAAAATACTTGGCACTGCGACGAATATAAGTTTTCCCCTTGCAGCCTTTTGAACATTTTGGGAGAGTGCAGCTAGGGACTGGCGGTGATTTTACACCATCAGTTAAAAACCGTCAATGATACCCTGGATGCAAACATAAACTCTTGTTTAATAAAAACTGTGATCATACTACAAGTGCATGCAATGTGCTTTTTAATGTTTTTATATTAACAGAGTCAGTCACTGAGTTTGACATGAAATTGTTAACAGCACCAGAAACACAAGATATATTTGTTGTTGTGGGCTGTTAACTACCCACACACACATTTTTTTTTTTTTAATCAATAGTTATTTTTTTTTATTGATTCCAAACAATACAAATTGATTTAAGAAATAAAATACAGTTGTTTTTCCTTGAGATGAATTCAACACACACGCACACACACACGCACACACACACACACACACACACACACACATGTAGCGCGCATATCGCACTGTGCACACTTTCACCTTATTGTCTACTATGAGATTTTTCTGCAACTGTTTTGGCTAGTTTTCATGACACACCTGGTTAGCCCCTGGACAAATGAAACCTGAGTCACTCGCTGCTGACCAAGTTAGAAAACTCGCTGCGCTACCTGCGTTAAAGACTTGTCCCACAACGTAATAACAAAAAAAAGACACCAGCCTACCCTGAAACATAAAAGAAAAGGCCTTATTACTAGACATGAGATTTATTTATGGTTGGTCTCTCTCTCTCTAAGTGCCATATCGTTTAACTTTGGCGACCATGCTGTCCTACAACCCTCGGCTCCTAGCCTTCTGTATTAGTACTACTCCCAGTTCTTTCACTCCTCTCTCTACCAACAATTTCTGCAGACTGTCCTTCCAAAGTATCCTCCTTCTTCCCCCACTCCTTCTTCCCATTATTTCCCTGTCAAAGCAAGATTCTCTAGGCCTTCTTTACGTGTAATGTGACCCATGAACTTCAACTGCCTATCAACATCTCACGTATCATTTTCCTTTGCACTCCAGCTCGTGTAAGAACTTCCTCATTATTAACTTTGTCAGTCCAGGGGATTTTCATCATTCTTCTTAAAAACCCCATTACGCAACTTTCCAATGGCTGGTCAATGGAAGAATTAGACCATTGTCGAGGATGCCTTTGGTGGCACACTCAGATTTTCTGTCTATTGAAAGCTCATTTTCTACCCCTAATTTTACAAACTTCCTGTCTTCTTGAATACATAGTCTTGGTATCTAACGAAAGCTGAAGCATTAGACTTTTCATTGGATTAATTTAGAAAATAAACAACCACATGTAAGTAAAACATATCAGAGGTATACATTACTCTTCCCCCGTAAAAAACTTTTAGTCAAAATTTATTCCTGATAATTTCTTTAAAACGTGGTACATACATAAAGAACATCATACCATTGAAAAAGCCATGTATTCCTCTACACTAATGCTACGCAGGACTTTTCATAATAATCAATAACTAAAAATTTATTGCTATTAGAATAAACACAGACCATGACGAAGGGTTCAAAATGTGCTACCAAAAATTAATGTGGCGCAGTAGGGATTATATGTGGGGAGTGAAAAGTTTTTAAGCCTCCCTACAGTAAAATGTGAAGATGAACCTAAACCTTTAAGGACAGGAATTTTATAAGAGTTAAGAGTGATCACACATTATTCTTCCAATTGGCCACAGTTTGTCATTTATTTATAATAAATGTCTTCAAAAGCAATGTAATTTATAAAGTATGGTCTATGTTGAAAAGTTGAAGATTTTTTTTTTTTTTTTTTTAGATCGAAAACAATTTAACATCTCAACATTGTTTCAATTTAAAAATGATATTAAAGCTTATTTTCCTTTTCCATTTTGTTGAATTCATGGTATCAAACGGATTTGGGCCGTGCAACGAATTGGGCACGATGTATACATAAATTGTTGAACTTTGTACTCACATGACTCATGCATGAGGTATATCTTTAACGCTCTGCATATTACAGCAGTTGCAGCAGCTTCTCTATTATGTATTCTCTCTCTTATTTTATTTAAAAAAACTGAACAATGTTTTAAATTTTTATTTCACATATCTTCCAAGCATACCTTTAACTACAATTCTATGTAGTTTCATTGTTATAGGCATGTGGGAAATATGTTAAATTATTTATTAGAATATAGTCTTTTCAGCCATGTGTGACATGGCCCGCTAATCGCCCATTGACTGTTATTCTAGGTGGTGAAAACGCACCTCAATGTATAAAACTCCCCTACAAAAATGCAATATACTCATGTGTTTCACTCATTGAATCAATTTGTTATTTACACTCAAGGTAGCCACAACTGTACTGGGGTCACCAATTTTTTGTTGTTGAAATTCAGTCCTTGTGGAATGTTATGCCCCGTTATAAATCCTCAAATCTAACATTAAAAAAAAACTATACTGTGATGTAGCTGAAAGTCTGCAAATTCTTATCATTTGTTCAGTTTTTCTGAATAATTTGTGAAACATATGAGGAAATAGCTGTAACGGTGATCCAAGTAATTTCCATCACAATATTTTATTGGCATTGCAAAAGTATTTGGAATTTAATGTTAATATTTGATGTAAATATGATCTATAAATATATGATTTAAAAAAATGCCAACAAAATGAACAGTTTGACTTTCCTATGTATATAATTAGCTGAAATGACCTTATTTGCATATTTGATGAATATTCATATTTTTTTTTTCTTCAATTTTTTTTTCCATACCTGTCTGATATACATAGGTTTCATAGATTTATCATGTTCTGTTTTGATTTGATTACATATGCGCATATTAATTAGACGGACTTAGTTATTTTCACAACTTTTTCATATCTGCAGATTCGCAAAAAATGGCAAAAATTACTAATTTTGTTTGCTTCTGTTTTCAAAACAGTAATAGATATATGAATTTTCTTTTTTGTATTTTTACCACAAAGATGATATTTTAGTGTCTGATAATTTAATTCATTATTTGTGTCCAAGAAAGTGATGAATTAAGTTGTCAACTTTGTCGAATTTTGCCATTTTTGTCAATTTGACCATTTCTGGCAGGTTTTTCGGCAATTTTGCGATATCAAAAAAATGGTATAAAACACAACCCATTGACCGATTTCAATTCTGTTTTTTTGTTTTTTGAAGCTTTCATAAAGCTTGATCATTTGCAATCATCAAATAACATGTGTTTGTTGTACTAATTTTTGGTGTGCTATACCTACTCTTAGTTCTCCCTTATGTGTTACTGGGAGTGTATGGGAAGTCCATGTACATGTAAATGCACATTTAAAAAAAATGTATATTGTATATGTCCTTACATAATATGTTGGGGATGAGGTATGGGATTCATTTTATGCTACACCTTTATTTCTTCATGATTAATTATTTTGGTTTAGCCGTTTTCTTTTTTCTTTTTTGTGGGGGGGGGGGGGTATAGGCCTTTATGAGTCGATATTTTTTCCTTAAATAATTTTAATTGAATTGTTGTAATAGATGTTTTTCAATTGTTTGTCATAAACATTGTATGATAGTTGGCATATGATTATAAATTCCTATGTTTAATAGGCATATGTTTTAATACTGTTATGGAAGAAAATTATGATATGTTCCCCCCCCCCCTCCCAAGGTTATTATTCAATACCACAAAAAATGGAATGAATGACTCAAAAGGGTTAATGAAGCATCCTTCATCCTACCCTGGGGTAGCGTAAGAAGTCGTTACATCCATATATGTCTGGGGGGGGCATTCTAAATGAATCAATATCGCATGAAAAACACGATGGCCCAGATGTCTTTTTACAGGATACGCATATCGGGTGGAAATATACTGTACATGTACCATATATGGCAATTTGCCATATTAGCGTTATTAGGTCCATTGGCCAAATGTTAAGAATCAATACAAAAATATATAAAAAGCAGAAAAACAAACATTAACAAATTATACATGTTTGTTATCTAGCACCCCATAAAGTTGGTTGTGGATATGACGGTGATGTGACCACCATGGCCGTTACTAATGTGAATTCTATAAATAAACATGTCGATAATTTATCAGTATAAAGTATAAAAACAAATGTAAGCAACTTACTTTGCGTAATTTTAGCTTCCTGTTTGATTGCAATCATATCTGAGCCATTTGAGTTCACAATAATGTAGAAAAAATGTTATTAGTACTGAAAAACGTATCATAAAAATTTGAATATTTTGGAAAAATATTGATGTATTTGATTGATATACATAATAAATAGTAGCGTCTGTGCACAAGAGTCTCCGAATGTTTACTTCATTCAAATCCAGATATAGAAGAGTGTTCTTCAGGTAACAGTCATGTCTGAAACAGCAGTTGCTATGATACCTTATTATTGCAGTATTACTTGGATGTGTTACCAAATTTCAACGCTTTACTTATGTCTGAAGGTATATAATCTTTATGGAAAAACAATCTTAGCAACGACTATTGCCGAATTCGAGCAACAGTCTTTTGCTTCTGCTGCTCTTTAATACAACCATTGTACGGAGTGGCAGTTTACTCTTTAAGAGCTCATAATTAGGGATCACTTCGTTCTAGAATCGATTCCACTCCAAGTTAAGAAAATAAATCTGCACAAAGAGGTAGTTTAAAACACTTTTTTTTAAGTGAATTCCTACACCTAAAACGTGGTTTCCCCTTTAAAAAAGTGGGCCTTTAATATGAAAACAAGATAAGACAAGAGAGATTTTGTTTCTTCTTCCCCATATTAGAGGAATTGTCTTTTGGTTGCTAAAATGGAACAATAAACAATAAAACTTGGTATAATTACCTCAACGTTAGCTTAATTGGGAGAAGAAAAAAACGTTTACATGAAGAAAAAAATGTTCGCTATCGTTATCAGTTCTTCACGACTGGAAAACATGTATAAAATATTTATTTTAAATTATTTACTTGTCATACACTGAAATCTAGGATGAACCAATATCGCATGAAAAACACGATACATGATAATAATAATATTATTATTTTGTATTCATAGTGGTTTATTTATTTCTACTCCTGATCATTTGCTATTATTGTTCCTGACTCTTGCTTTGAAAAATAAGCAGAAAAAGTATGGTTTCTTGTATTATATTAGTGTAAACATTTAGTCTACTTCACCCATAGCGACGTCGTTATTAATACTTTGGGCCCTGCAACTGAATTGTTATTATCCCCATCGTTGACAGGCACACCTATGTCGAGAGGGAAGATGTGGGCAAGACCAACAAGACACCTTGCCCAAAGAACAACCCTTTTGTATTGGGGTCCTCAACAATATACCACAATGGTCTATAATGTTATTTGAAAATTCAGAAGCTGATAAATAAATGTGGGCTGGCATCGTTTTTAACCTAGTATTATCAACATTCTTGTCAACCTTCACAATAAAGGGAAATTTAGAGAGAAAAAAAATATTCCCAACTTGTTTTCCAAGTGACTTTTCTGTTGGGCTTGCAGTATTTCAACTCTGGTAAAAAGAAATATTTCAAAAGTCCATAACTAAACATCCATACAAGCCGTATAAGCGTGTTCACGGAGAGCGACACTGATTCTTTCCGACACAGTTTGAAGCGTCATTGCAGAATAACAGTTAGTCCACTTCCTGGAAAGTTTCCGTGTCGCGGGCCCAAACAGTTACAAAAATAACACACCTTTATCGCTAAACCGGAGGCAGTCCTTGCCTTTCTTTTTTTTCCTTTTTTTTTCGACGGGTCAATTTTCGATAATCACCCCCGGCAAACTACCGGCGGATTAATTACCCCCGTGGACAATTACCCCACCCTGAAAATGACCCCTTAGACAATCAGTCCCCCCCCCCCCGAAAAAAACAACTTGTTATCAGGGTGTACTACCCCTTAAATGAACAGGTGGGGGGGGGGGGGGGGGAGTAATTGTCATGGTGGTCATTTTCAGGGGTAGGAAGTAATTGTCCACGGGGGGGGGGTGGGGATAATTGTCCACAGGGTGTTATTTTCGGGGGTATAGAGTACCGAAGCTGTGACATCATAAAAATCTATTTTTTGGAATTTCTCAATGTTTTCTTCATTTTCCGAAAGAGCATCGAAAATAATGTCCAAATGTCGAAGACAAATTACCCCCTATAGGAACTCAGTGTTATAACGCTCTGGCTCGTAATGTTATGAACCAGAGCAATATGCACTGAGTTCCCATAGGAAATCTATTTATTCAGATGGTCGTATCTTAGCCAATATTTAAGCTATTCAATTGGTTTACGACAGTTGGACATTATTTTTGATGCTCTTTCGAAAAATGAAGAAAAAATTGAGAAATTCCAAAAATATATTTTTAATGACGTCACACTTCACCACTCTATTGCCCTTGGGGGTGTTTTTCCGGGGTAATTTTCCGGGGGGGGGGGGTGATTGTACAGGGGTTATTGTCATGATATGCTTTTTACGAAATTAAAACCCGCGATGAATCGTTGGATCACACCGTAGATGGCTTGCTGATGATTATTTTCTACCAACTCTCGCGCCGGTTAACCTTTTAAACAAGGTGAGATTATTGCATGCTGCTTCTTGTTATCATGAAATAAACCGAAATCAGAATCGCATTTTCCTTTGATTTCAAGAGATGTGTTTAAAAACAACTTTTGAAATAAAACGCCAGGGTGTTATCCGTGTAGGCCGAAATTCTTCAACCCTTTACAAGGGCAGATCTAGGGGGGTTTCGGCAGTTTAAAACCCTTCTCTGGGCAACCAAGTGAGAAAAAAAAAGGAAAAAAGTAAAACGGTGCGATTTTTGGAAACTCCTGGGTCAACCCCCCCCCCCCCCCTTGGCAAAAAGCTAGATCTGCCCCTACTTTACCACACCATGTACCCGAGCCTGATCATCCTAAGACTAAAAAACAAATTCAAAACCCAGTTGAAGCCCTAACCGCCCTCTTTCCTTTATATTTGATGAAATAAATCTGGAAGGATGCTGTTTCTGAAGCACATGCATGCAGTTATAATTATGGTAATGTCACTTTCACATGTACTCAGCAATTCTTTGTCCAACATCTGCTAAATGTAAAGTTTTTCCCATTTTTTCTTAGAGCTAGGATTGGCAGATTCAAGTGCTTGTCTACTAATTGAGATGACATAAGGAACAAATAAAAGAATGAACAACACATTCAACAGCATGAGCAAGTATTGGTATTAGTTTATGAAGTACTGCGCTGCCAATTACTTCAATCAACATAATTACACACGGTAAATAACGAGAATTTACCAGGTGATAGCGTTTCCGTTTAACAAATATTACGTCCGTGTCATAATTTCTATTATCTGCTTTGCCTAACACATGTGTAAAGTAAAGTCTGCTTTAAAGGCAATTACTCACGCGATATTGATTATCAAATTTGAAGGCGCCAAAAAGAAATTTACAGTGGCTGAAATATTGGTATATAAATCCTGCAAACCTCAGAGAGATTGAGTTTAAGTCTCTTTATTCAGACATTTTCTTCGTCGTCAGAAAATTCATCTCGGAAAATCGCGATTCCTAAAATCATTCACGAATCTTATCTTTTCATGTGGCGTGGCTGCTTTATTCAGCCAGCCAGAAAGTTCGGATTAAAAAATGGGGCATGCGACTTACTGCCTTCTGCTCCTCACAGTAGTCGTCTTTTCCATTGATGCCGACATAACCCACAGAAGGCGGTAAGTATATATTTTAGTATTGGAGAAGCGTTGTTGTCGGGTCTAATCACTCTAGTGCGTAGATCGTCGGTCTGGGAAGCACAGGGTACGGGGTTCGAATCCCTGTCACAGCCCTAAATTGCCAAGACATTCATTTAAATGTGCGATACTCGACCCATGGGTACATGGTTTGAAATGCTAGAGCGCCATATGATTTCAGCCATGCTAAAAGCTTGGGTAATTGCGGAGCGCCAGGAGTGACATACACATGAGCGCTAATTAAAAGAATCCATTTTTATTAAAATCATATTGAATGCATGACTGTTTTTATGTAGTGGTTCTGCTACGGATATATTTATATCTCATTGATAAGTTGAATGTTTGTGGCACTAAATTTGTGGACAAAAACTGAATTAAAATACATGTATCCTAGCACACAATACTAGTACTGAGCAAGATGTTTTAGAAAAGGAGGAAATTCAAACAAGTAAGAATGACATTGTTTCCTACATGTTTTTGCAAAGCTGATAGAAACACATGAAATAAAACTGTTATTTTATTTCAAATTGTGTTTATATTTAAAGATTTTAATGATAAAATTCTATTATGATAATTTTCATTCTTCATTTTACATGTGATACTTTGCAAATTAAACTATTACAATTTTAAAACCTTGCCTGAAATTACCTTTTTCCCTTTTTATTTATTCGTTGACACACGCCTTAAATCTTTCTCGTTTATGATAAATGATTCGTGATTGAGTTCTGAATCATTGACTTATTTCAAAATGCTTCTTTAATATCACATTCTGTACAATGTAAAATGATTAATCAATCGCCCTTGAATTGTTATTTTTTTACTCTGTCCTACTGTAACAGATGTTATCATGGAGATTTTCTTTCGTTTCCGCAAATATCTGTCGTATTAAATATTTATTGAATTGATAATGGTTTTATTGAGAATAAAAGAACAACAATGCATCGCAGCCTAAAAGGCCGAATTGGGCAATGTTTTACAAATGTAAAATACAATATATAAAAACATTCATGTCAAATAAAATAAAAGTTAATGAACTAAACTTGAATGAGTAAATTGTTAAGAATAATATTTAACTTTAGAATTCTTATTTCATATTATTTGATCTCCCTAACTCATTCGAATAGCTAAGATTAGTGGCTGGTTGTCACTAATGACCCTTTTTTGACAATTAACCATAATATCTGAGTAATCAAATATATATACATATCTTTCTGGTCACAAATTAATCTCATTTAATCGGGCTTAAATCATAGTTTCTACGTTAAAACTAAATTAGCATTCTTCCTGACTTAATGTATATCTTTCATATTTTAATTAATCATACTTAAATCGATAATGCAGTTTGACAAAAGACTCAGACATTGGAGATGCATATTTGTAAACTATTTTCGATAGTCTCCTTTTTTATTATTATTTCCATTCTATCAAACAATATCAGTCTAAATCTCATGATAAATTTTTCCGTCGTTATAGTGCAATCTCTAGTAATCGTTTTTCGGTTCACTCTGTCAGCTTACTATAAATATATAAATAATGCTACTTTTCTATAAACCATATGACTCATATTTACACTATTGCTCATAAACTTGGAATATTTTTTTCATATCTTTTTCCATGAAAGGATTGTGACAATATCTTTTAGTTTTGAAAGACATAGTTTATATAGTTTCTCGGAACTTTATTGATTCATGCCACTCTTTAGATCGATCAATAAAGTTCTGATAACATGTGAACTGTATTTATCAACAGCAAAACAAATTGTTGCGATCATGAAAAGAGGTAACCAATATTTTTCAAAATTCATGAGCAAAACTGTCTTATCTTTGTTTCGAGATACATTTAGTTTGAATGTTATATGAAAATTTTCGTCATGAGAGTTTTTAGAATTGACTCATAATTGACGCATATGATAGAAAATCTTTATTTCATATTTCACTCACATTGCGGTAAACTATTCTACTTATATTTTATTCATACTTGGTGTCTTCTATTTTGGAGAACTATGATAAAATGCAATTTGTTAATTATCTCGTTATGCTGTTTGTCCCTTATTTCTCACTTATGAGAAGTATCATGTATTTTAGTGAACATTTAGACATTTGCAATGTTAGCTATCTTTTAGAATATAATTTTCAACATTCTCCATATACACAGCGCATAGACTTTAATGAGTGTTATGTGACATTGTTTTGTAGATTTTATTTATTTATTAATGTTTTCGTCGATAAATAAACAAATGATTGTGCGTTAATGCTTCCCCAGAATCGCCGATCCAAAACGCACCTTTTTGTGAGTTTACGATCGGCTATTACGATCGCCGTTTTTCTGTGATTCTACAAAAATGATAAAGGACGCAACCGTGTTTTGAACTAAACGCGTAACAAATGCCTCATTCTGGCCAGAAAAAGTTGAGCATAAACGCACCCTTAGATAGATATACACGCAGAGGTGTCGATTGACACTTGACTGGAGCTGCGAAGGTCGTGCAAGGCATTTTATCTGCATCGCTTCTCTATACTCAGGTGTTTAATGGGTACCCGGTAGGATGCCAAAGTTAAATGTGGTTGGAGCGGCACATGTGCCAGTGTACAACGACGCCTGACCGGGATGCGTACTCCCCAGGGGGCAGAATCTGAACACTATCATCAGCAATATAGCATTTGAATCCAAAGACCGGGGTAACAATGATTACAATATAAAGTTTGCAGTAACGAGATATTAAGCGCTAACGTGACTATTATCATTATTATTTGTATCGTAGATTTTATGTTGATTCTGTATTCATTGTTCATTTGCAGTAGTCTCTAGAAAATTAATGATTCTTTTTTTTCTTTTCACAGACCAGAATACTCCCTTTATACCAACAACGGTAATCGCACATTGATTTTCGATAAACGTAAGTTGACCATTTCAAGGGGTCATGTCATTTTTTTGTCATATGTCATAGGTCAACACACATCTAAGTTTTTGGAAAAAATAATAGATTATAATTGTTTTTGTAGAAATGCGCAAAATGTGATCCATTAATGTCCATGATTGCTTATTAATGGTGGTAGTTAAATAAGATAATAACAATTAATTTTTTTTTTTTAAATAATAACTTATAACAATACAATCCAATCCAATTTTGAATTTATTTATTTGTTATATTTAATCATCACAGTAGGTCAGTGGGTATACCGTTGTTATTGATAATAGCTTATCATCATCATCATCGTCATCACCATCAACAACATCATCATCATCATCATTAACAGTTTTTCATAATCTCCTTACACGCAGTTGGACGAAGAAGTGGTTCTAAAGCAGCTTTTCCTCGAGGTAAAAGGTCCAGTAGTATTAATCAAACGATTACAACTACGAACAACATACCAGGCATCCAAGTTCCATGTGAGTTTTACAGACTTCTTTTCTTTTAAAGGCTTCAACTATTTAAATCTTATATCAGTATTCACAGCGAATTCAAACCAGCACTACCGATAACACAATCCTCCCGGACAGCTTTTGCGAGTAATTCTATTTCATCAGTCACTATATCATGTCGTGTTTGGTAATGTGCAACTTGTAACAAAGCATGTTACAACTGATTGAGGAAGTAAAGAAAGGATTCGACGCACACATACACACGCGCACGCACACACACACACCCAAGACACACGCACGCACGCACACACACTCACGTACATACGTACACACATTCAACACCCTTAAACACATCCGCACGCACCATTCCCCTTTACTTTCCTTACCAACCCCCACCCACACACACGCACACAAATATACAATCATATCAATTTTGTATCCGTATATCGACGGATGTATAAGTAGTTAATAATTGCAATATCTTACGATTATATTCATTTGTTGACGTTGCTATGTATATTCTGTTCGCAAAAGATAATAATGCATTTCTCAAATATTAAACCCGTGGTGATGACGTCTATTTTCAATGAGGTTCAATGTTATATTCAATTTGATATCTGAGTAACACATACGTGTTAGGTCCTTGCTACAAAGCACTGTTTCCCGCGGGATTCCCACTTTTTGATTTCCAAGAGAGTCGCCAAAATTGTTTGCATTAGTCAAATTCTTAAATCGTATTTAAATGAATTATTCCGACTAATACAAGTCATGTATTCAAGCCCAAAACTTTCAACCTTTAAAGCAATGAGAAACTTGTAGAGAACTCAAGCTACGGTCACAATGCATTCGTACGAATCTCCCTGTTTTTCCATTGTCTTCCCGAATTTCTATTGTCTGAAAATCGTTCGTACGGCGTTCGTAGTAGTTCGTAATGGCATTTGTGACCGAGGCTTAAGCAACATTATTCTCTCAGTTTTTGTCATTTCCCAAATTACAATAACCTGAAGTTCTAAGTCCAGCTAGGTAACAGTTCCACTCTCAATTCTTAACGTTAATCTCGTCTAGATTGGAATGTATTTTATATTTTTCTGGACTTAAAACTTCAGCTGCCCTTCTACCGTTTTTCCTTATGTACAGCACTATGTACTGATATTTAGGCCTAATACCTTTCATCAAAACAATCGTTCCCCTGTCATATACTTATTTCAAATGTTAATGTATTTCCGATGTCATCTTCCTTTTAATCAAAATAGCCATTCCAGAGTTCGGTTATTGCCAGGTTTGGGCCCAGCAGCATTACCGTTCCTTCGATGGGAAGTTATTCACCTTCCCCGGGGCATGTACCTACATCCTGGCCACTGACTGGCCGGACTTCTCCTTTCATATCTACGTCGAGAATGACTATTCTGATTGTCGGCAAGGCAACAATTCATGCTCCAGGTATTTGGATACTCAGTGACGTAGCTACAGGGGGCACGAGGGCGCACGTCCCCCTCCCCATTGAGTGGTTTAAAAAGAGAAATAAAAGGCAGGGACACGGAAAGGGAAAGGGAGAAGGAAGAGGGGAAACAAAAGGACGATAAAAATATAAGTCTAACCCATCTTCCGTACCTTCCCCCTATTCTGTAACCTTGTAAATTCGCATTTATTTTCCGAGTAAGATGGGGTGCCCCCATATGTAAAGCAGGCGTTCCAGTGGCCCCAAAGGACGGACACACGCTACGCCATTGTACGCTTTATACTAGTCCAATAAAATTTCAGATTTATGTAAGATATCGGGTGAATCGAAAAAGGCAGTTTATTATACAGATCAGTCGTTGAATAAGGAGATCAGAGCATTCGAAGAAGCGAAAGGGACTTCTGAAGATAGATACACACCTAATAATTAATGCAAATTCCTTCATTTGCTCCGATAATTTCTCTAGGCTTTATTTCGTTATATGATTGAGGTATATGATTGAAGCGAGGGATGCCATTGGATTGTAGTTATTTATATAATTGGGGTAAGTGAATTAAATTGTTGGCTCTGTAGTCTGCAGTCTGTTGAGTGGCATTTAGGAATTCGTCTAATTAAATGTAGGAAGATAATGTGAAACAACCAAACATGGCGTCATTGGCGTGCATGGAAACCTCATTAGAATTATTTTAACAAATCCTTTAAAAAAATTGTTTTCATGTGAATACTTGCTTTTTGTTCTTGTTAAAAAAAATATATACAATGCAACATTAATCTTTATCATTTAACCAGGTCTGTATTAATTGATAATGGGAACCCTACCTCTCTGATCTATCTCCGACCCGGTGGTATCGTCACCTACAAGGGGGCTGAGCTGACCCTCCCCACCAAGGCAGGTGGACTGGTCCTGGAGCAGATCGCCGACTACATCCTAGCAACCAGTGGATTGGGCTTTCGCATCCTCTACGACGGTAAAGAGTCCATCACCGTCTACATCACCACCAACACGCTGCTCGGCAACACAGCTGGTCTTTGCGGAACGTATGATATGGATCCGAGCAACGACTTCTTCATGAACACTGGTCTTCAAGCTGAGGGAGCATACAACTTTGGTCTGTCTTGGAAGATGACGGATGAGAGAGGTAAGGGATTCCATACAAGTCAAGCTCCTGCAAATTCTCCTGCATCCCTAAGCTTTTTAATGTGTAAATGTATAGATTAAGATGGAGCTAGGGTAGATATAAGATAGGGCAGTGAATATGTTTGATAACCAATATTTCGTTCGCAAAGCATTGATAATCTTTGGCATCAAACGATTATTATGGTTTATATCATTGTCATGAAAATTTGATAACCTACAAGTTTTTTTTTCGTATGAGAATACGCATGTAGTATTTTACCATTTCAAAATGGTTTCTACAAGAATGAACGAATGGAAGTGGAATGATGATACGGAAATACTATTAAAGCTTATCTGTCATAGTTTACAGGAGGGATTAGACCGTCCTGCAAGGTCACTGAACAGGTGGTTATCTCATCAACTCGGCTCTCAGTTAACATAAGAAAAAGAGGATCATGGGGGACCAATGGTCACCGATTAGGCATTGTTTGTTTTATAGAGGGCGCAAGTAGCTACAAGTAGTGCAGTGGGCCTTTAAATACTATTCTTTACCAAACCTGGTCTTGTGTAGAACCTGAACATTGCCCAGACGTCGCGGCTGTTTCCATCCCATGTACCGAGAAATCTTTCTTCGAGTCGGAAGCGGACGAGGAGAGGGCACGGGTGGCTGATCAACAATGTTCTCAACTCCTAGATGACATGTTTGCCGCTTGTCAACAGGTCAGTATATACAATCGCAAATACTCTCAAGAATTTGCCATCGACAATACTCAGGCACGTACGCAGGGGGGGGGGGGGTTGGGGTTAAACCCTCCCCCTTTATTTTTTTTTATGTGTATGTTTTATGTATGTTTTTTTGCCAATGGCTGACCTAAAAAAGTGACCTTACCCCCCCCCCCCCCCCCCCCCCAACGGAACAAAATGTCAAGTTTTCAAATTTCGAGACCAAAAAAAAAAAAAAAGTGTCCTCTTACCTCCCGCTTATTCAGCGGCTGGCTGAGTCGTTGCAAAATTTTGGGCCCGATTTTAACCCCTCCCCCCCCCCCTTGAAAAAATCCTGCGTACGCCACTGCAATACATACATGAAGCTCGTATAGCCCTCCTGCGGGCAGTTAGCCGAATGATCACATAAGGGCTATAAAATAATCTATATCGCCTGTAACATGTCATTGTCATGTTAACTCATTGCAAAAGCCGATGAACGTTGGCTATTGAAATTGCATTGGGTTGATATTTCGAAGACTTATTTGCTATCGTTTAGTAGTGTTAGCTTAACCGGTATGTTTACTCAGTTTATTCTCGTCTTCCATCACTCAATTGCAAGTAGTTAGCATGAAATATTAACCCTGTAAACTGTCGACAAAGCTGGTATCAAGACTGGAGATGGATTGGTAAAGAAAGGGGAGATCTACTCTATTCACACGATTGTAAATATTTTCTAAATATCAACTCAAGGGTAATTTCAATAATCTAATGAATTGCCTTAGGAATCAACTTGGGATAACATATTATATGTCATCGTAAAGTTTGCAATATTTCAATATGTGTGGAAAGGCTAATCAAATTATTCGGATTATGTAATATGTTAGGATTAAACAGTACGTAGTTGTAATGTTCACACCTAAGATGTGATGGCTTAAAGGTAGAGCAGTGGTCTCATAACCGGGTGGTCCAGAGTCCGAAACCAAGTCAATGTGCTCATGCCCTTTGGTGTGGCATTTATAATCCTCCTTACTAAGGCTGCGTTTAAGCTCAATTTTGAAGGTAGAATGAGCGATATGAAACGCTCATCGTAAACGCTCATCGTAATCGCAGTTCCACGGTGTACTGTGTATGCTCACTTCTCTGGCTCCTCCAGGCAATTCTTGCTGGGTGGCCCTAATTGGTCTTGCAGCTGGATTCGCAAACCTGCACTGCGCATGCTATATAGACCCACTAGAGGTCAGTGCGTTGACCCCATTTAAACGCGTTTACAAATTGTAAACGCACCTTTTTGTGAGTTTACGATCGGCGATCGTGATCGCCGTTTTTCGGTGATTCTACAAAAGTGAGAAAGGACGCAACCGTGTTATAAACTAAACGCGTAACAGATGCCTGATTCTCGCCAGAAAAAGTTGAGCATAAACACGTCCTTAGCCACACGGACTTGAGCCGTTGGGCCACTCGTTGCTTACTTACAAGCATACACTTACTTCCTTAGCAAACATAGCAAATAGTGCTGGACATGGCTAGCGACATATAGCTCTAGGTATGTTGATGTTTAGAGATATTCAGTGATATTTCGATTGTCTTTGCGATCGTGCTTCTATAACATCTGTTGAGGATATTAATCACCCGTTAGCTCCATCTTTATTTTGGCAAACAGGTAGTAGACCCACAGCCATTTGTCACTGCTTGCGAGGAGGACGTGTGTGCCTGTACGACGGCCCATCTCCATGATGAAACTTGTAAGTGCGCTTCCTTCTCGGCCTATGCTCTAGAGTGTGCTCGACGAGGCGTTCAAGTGTCCTGGAGGTCCCACTACTCCTGCCGTGAGTATGGAAGTTTTTAAATACCAACCATTTATTTTGAGACATTAATTTCTAAACAGAACAGCTCTTTGGACATTACAATCCATTCCCTTTGATCGATCTGCAAACTGAAAGTATATATGCGACTAATTCCAATTTCGTTTCCAAGATAGCCGATGTGGGCAAATTCGTAACGCCAGTAGAGGTCGATCATTAATTGCCAAAATTTATTTCCCAAAGTTTATCTTCTTATAATATCAACATTGTCATTGCAGCTTACGAGTGTCCAGAATCATCCACCAAAATCTATGAGCAATGCGGGTCCACGTGTCGAGATGTGGGCTGTAGCGCAGCATCGAGCGAATGTGAAATTGACGGAACAGTTGGATGCCTCGAGGGTTGCTACTGTCCACCGCTGACCTATAAATCCTTGTCGGGTGGGTGTGTCAGTGCCGATCAATGTTCCTGCTCATGGCAAGGCAGCGAGTACCTACCGGGACGAACGATCTCTAATGGGTGTAATGAATGGTATGTGATTAATGCATCTAATTCCAAGTACTCCGAGTACACGTCACTAAATATATAGGCATCTCCTGTCAGGTGATGCATGACAGCAGATAGGAATATAGTTTAAAAGATATCCCCACACCCATACACATTGTATGAACAATTAATTTAATTCGTTTTCCACGGTGCTTTAATTGTTTCTTATAGAAAAAAAGTCAAAACGTTCAACTTTAAGTGACAATTTTTGTTGTAAATAACAACTTTAAATCCTTGAATAAAGTGAGGATGTTTGTATATGATAATCAACGTTCAAATTCACCAAATGCACGGCCATAAATATAAACATAGAACGAAACTTAAACATGTATATCTATTAAACCCCAGTGTAATTATATTCACTGGAAAATGACATAGGCTACATGGATATCGGTAGTGTCGTGGCAACAGGCCAAACGAAAGCCCCTTTTAGTACAGTTACAACAAATGAAAGAAGAAGGCCTAAATTTATTGACCGTGATTTCTAAGATATTGACTTTTGTGTTTCCAGTACATGCGTGCAAGGAAAATGGCGGTGTACACAGAATGAATGCGGAGGTAAGGCACTCAATATATTACGTCTGTTATTTGTTAGAACCAGATCACATAAAACTGTTTTTTACCAGTACCCGTGCACCAATTCATGTTCTATATGTCGCTGATTACAAGTGATAAACTTCGATGCATACACCACATCAGCTTTGTGTAATTGCTAATCAAGTGATCCAAATCTCCATCAAATATCAGGTCCTTGTAGAATTTGTTTTTATCTTTATTTATAAAATAGATTTTCCATCACCATTTTTTCTTTTAATTTTAATTGTTTGCTTTTTCATGTACTGATACCGTATATAGTGCCTACGTGCAGTATATTGCCAGAAGGATATTGAACACAATTTACTGGACAGGTGCAATATTTAAGAAATAAGTGTTTGTCCTGAAGGATGTAAACGTCATTGTGTTTTCACAGCATTGTGCCCACCTGCAAAAATAGCTACTGGCGATAGTGCTCCTCAGGGAGTAGAGTATGTGCACACATAGTGAGGGAAAGTCTTATCCGATGCCAGGGGCGAAATATATATTGCGGAAGCCCTTCTGGTCATATTGCATTTATTAAGCACTATATTTATTAAGCACTAAATGTCTGAATTATTATATGAATCCATATCATTATCATTATTATTATTATTATCATTATGAATATCATTATTATTATCATCATTATTATTGTTATTATTATCACCATTATCATTGTTATTATTATTATAAACATCAGCTTCATTATCATCATCATCGTTATTATTACAGGTAATTGTCTAGTTAGTGGGCAGGGCCATTACAAGACATTCGACAACCGTTATTACGATTTCGCTGGTACCTGTTCCTACATCCTGATCAAGGACTGTTGGAACCCCTTCAGCATTTACTTGGTGAGCATCGAAAATACTGCTTGCGGAATGGAGGGCGCCTCATGTGTCAAGGCCGTTGTCATTCAAGATGGGGCACTCGAGATCAGACTGCGTAGAGGTTCGCAGGTGCTGATTAATGGAGAGGAGGTGACACAGTTTCCAAAAATGGTCGGAAACTTTTATGTGAACCAACCGACTCACACTCAGACTGCAGTAAGTTAAATGATCAGAATGATAATTGGGGATGGATCCTGGATTTTGTAAGGGGGAACATTTCTAAGAAATCTCTGACATAGAAGAAGAAGACGAAGAGTAAAAATGACAGGAGGAAGAAGAAGAAGAAGAAGAAGGATAAGAAGAAGGAGAAGAAGAAGAAGATGATGGAGAAGAAGAAGAAGAAGAAGTGGGAAATGAAGAAGAAAAAACTTATTATATGTACAACCATTTAAAAAATACTTCTTACTGAAGTTTTAGTTTAATTTATAATTACCCTTTGAGATGTCGTAGGTTTATAATGCTTTTAAAATACATATTGCCACATCTTTTCTATTAGTTAGTTAATTCCTTACCTAAGCTCTTGTGGGGTTAACTTGATACAATGATCAGATGATCTTACGCTCGGTCGGTAACGTATCAGACGGAAACTGCTGGGACTTGCCCAAAATAGTTGTTATATAACCATTCTTGCACGTGCATTCGTCTTCGATTCATACAGGTCATAATGCCGAATGGTATGACGATACTGTTTGATGGCAACAACGAAGTGGCAGTTATGGCAGATGACAGGCATGTGAATTCTACATGTGGTCTCTGTGGTACATATAACAACAACCACCGGGATGACTTTTACACTGAAGCAGGTACAAACAACAATATTGATTTTTTGTTTGTTATTGTTTTAATAACCGCTTTGAATAGTTTTAATAATCTTTTGAGATGAATAATGCTGTAAACGAACGTAATACGCAAATTGCAAAATATTTCAGAGTTCACTTTGGACGGACAAAATTTTCAAACTTCATAATTACTCATAACGGGCCTTTGATATGGAACTCATTACCTATTTATATAAAAGAAGACAGAACTTTTTTTATCTTCAAACTCAGGCTAATACTGTAAATAAAGGTCACACAGTTATCACTATTTTTGTTGTTTTCGTTGTTCATTTTGGGTTCGTTACGGTGTTACATTTAATTATTTGTTATCTATTTTATTTCCTTGGGTGTAAAAAGAATGGGAAACTGATCAATAAAATGTTATCAATAATTAAGTCCTGAGAAAATATAAACTTTATCTCTCAAGAATTAATTATATTGTCACAATCATTTCATGGAAAGATGTATAAAGACAACTTATTCCAACATTGTAGTTAAAAACTGCTGTGTTTGATATAATAACCGCTCAACTTACAAAAAATGTTCTAGAATATTTTTAAAAGAATTGAAAGATAACTGTTCCCTTGTGCATTTTGCAGAGAATATGTAATTTTTGGCATATTAGTTGACAAAATATAAGCTAGAGTGCTTAGTGTCTGATAAACAAACAGAAAAGAATCTTTTATTCTGAAACACTTGTCAATTCTTCATATAAGGTGATGTCGAAGCAAATCCTACCTCGTTTGCCAACAAGTGGAAGCTAGGATCATCCTGTCCCGATGCAAGCTATGACACAACACCAGATCCATGCGACCTCTACTCCCAGATGGCCCTGACAGCTACCGACGAGTGTGATCGACTCCTCAGCGACAGTGCATTCGCTGGTAGCTTAATTCTAGTATTATCTCAAATCGCGTTATCATTAATAGTTCTTGATATTATTCTTTTGTTTTTTTTGCACCAAAATGATTTTGATTACTTTCTTTTTTGCATAATTATTTGCAGATTATACATGCATCAAAATATTAGCGTAAGAGTTTTTTTCTATATCATTTCATTTAACAACTACCAAATAATGCAGGCTTTACGATGTGACAGTAAATAATATTGGTGAATGACTCTAGTGGCAAAAGGAAATAAGCTGACACATCTGGTCCAGTCATCAACAGGCGATATGATATAAACAGAGACATACCAGTAAACTGACAGCCCGGGAGACTGACCAACCAACGAGACCGACTAGCACATGGGATAGACTAGCCCACGAGACCAATTCGCCACGAGGATGGCAGCCCAAGAAATCGACAATGGACCGTCTCGTCTTTCAGAAAAAAATTTAGAAGGCCGAAGAGACTAACATGTCGGTCTCGTGGACTATCAGTCTCATGGGCCATTGATTTCTCGGACACTTGGTTGAGTGGGATATAGCCATATTAGACAGTCCCGGTTTGTACAATGACTACACACATAATTTCCTTTTCTTTTTTGGTGTCTTTTTCAGCTTGCCGTCAACATGTGGACCCTCAGGAATACTACGATGCTTGCCGTCATGATGTGTGTAACTGTAAGGGCGTGGATTCTTGTAAATGTGAAGTGTTTGCCATGTACGCAGCCGAGTGTACACAGAAAGGCATAATAATCGACTGGAGAGCAAGTACTCCAGGATGCGGTGAGCTTAGGAGTTTTCATATCTACTTGCACTTTTAAACTAAAATTGTATTCAGGGTTCATACAGAGACTATAGTTGGTCCCGTCATCAAAATGATTTTGAATCAAACGTCAAATTAGTATTTCCATTATCTGTCCGCCCACGCTTCATAAGTCAATTCTGGAGAAAAAAAGTATCGAGAATTTGATATATCTATTCAATGAAGTTGTTTTGTAATGTTGATAAGGATCTACAACTTAGTATATAGCGGATTCAAAGGGAATGCATTTTGCAAATGCAATTTGTATACATATTCACTCTTGTAGGAGGAAATTCGATGGCTAAGTGGTAGAGCAGTGGTCTCGTCACCGGAATTTTTCCAGGTTCGAAACCAAGTCGATTCGCTCTATAGTGCCCTATGGTAAGGTATTTATCCTCAATACCAAGTCCCACCAAGAACCATGTATGTGGGACTAACATCATTCAAAAACTGCAAAATCATGTATAATTAACAGTGAAAGCATTGCATTGATTTACTGGCATATGGGTAAATTAATTACGTTCACAGGCTTGAGTATATAACGCCGGCTCGGACAATGGCGCCTCTTGTGTTACATGTTATATATTATAAAACAAAACTGTCCGTTTTTTTACCGCACATATATCTGTACCCCTACCAAAAGCTCTTATACTCTATTCAAACTATGTTCTTCATACTTCTGCAGAGATGAGCTGTGAAGATGGAACGGTTTACCAACCATGTCACCCCATGTGTGACACGACGTGCATCGCGCTCTCCTTGGATGCAGCCTGTACCGAGACCTGTGTTGAAGGATGTGCGTGCCCAGGCGGTTACGTCCTTGATCCGCACGGGGAATGTGTAACTCGCGAGCACTGCAGTTGCGTTGATCCAGATACAGGAGAGTTCCACACCAACTTGAAGAGAATTGAAAAGGGATGTGGTTACTGGTCAGTAAATTGTTGACAACTCTTTCGAAAATGTATTATTTTTTTAATCCCATTGAAATAATTTTGCTTTGAATGTTGATGTTCCATCCTAGATTTTCCAACTTCAGTGTAAACATCTGAAATGAACGCCAAGTTGTTGAGGACTTATTGATTAACTAGTAGTGCTTTCGTTCACTCCTCTGTAATCTCACAGAAGCTTATACAAGGGTGTACATATTCAGCTGCCCAATAGCTTAAAACACGTCAGCAGCACATGGGACTGTACATCCTGGTCCAGGACGTTATTTTCTCACAATGATTTGTTGTATAGTTCGGTTTAAGAGGTCGAAAGCTTCACAGCAACCGAGAACTTTAGGTATCCTTTTATTTATCAACTAAAACCACATATACTTGATTTGGTTTTATCTTCTCACACTTTCCGTATCCTTTTATTACTTCTATAAATACGGGGGATGACTACTTTGGGGGGGGGGGGGGGGGGTGGGGCATTGAGATTCAGATTCAAAGGTGGTGACATTCGCTGATTTTTTTCTTGACCGGAAAAAAAGATCTCATCATCGAGGGTTTTCATGATGTTCTGGATAGCTGGGTACCTTTTGAAAAATTGGCCACATCCCACGGAGTGTTAACCCACAAGACAATAACAAATTGTAGAGTAGCAGATTTATGAAGTATATAAGATTATATTTTATATAAATGCTTTGAATTAAACATTATATATACCATACAGCCAATGCTTATCTGGAGCCTGGGTTTGCGAGGGTGTAGACTGTCCAAGTGATATGTGTTTAACTAACCAGGAATATGAACCTTGTGCTAGTCCGTGTGATATGACCTGCACCAACATGCACAATTTTGAAGATTGCCCGACCCTGACCTGTAGTGGAAGGTGTGTGTGTAACCTGGACACGGTGTGGAATGGAACGAGCTGTATTGCACCCTCTAGTTGCCCTTGTCATCATGGAGGTCAAAGTTACCCCGAAGGACACACCATCCGGACAGATGACTGTCATACATGGTAAGCTACTTTGTAGGTTATAGTTAGTTACCCTGAGGGACACACCATCAGCACAGATGACTTTCATTCATGATTTAAAAAAGTACCATAGTAACCATGATGTTTTTTTCCAAATAACCATCCACCATGGTAACCATGGTAACCATGGTATCAAACAATGATAAACATAGGCTCATCAAAGAATGAATGTCATTGTTTGATACCATGGTGGATGGTAATTTGGAGAAAAAATATGGTTACCATGGTCCTTTTTTATAAGGGTTTAACCTGCTCTGAACGTTATAGTTAAATACCTATCCAGACAATCGATTGTCATTCATAGTACGTTACTGCTAAGGTTATAGTTCGTTATAACTACTGGCATTTTTTAATTTCTTTAATGTGTCTCTATCCAACAGCACGTGTACAAATAACCGCTGGGAGTGTGAAGAATACCTTTGCTACGGTAAGTTGAATAGTCCATTAAATTCAACTTGAATAAATTCTTATTTTGAATTCGTAAAACATTACTAATTTTTTTTCTCGGTTACATGAGTTAGTTTAAAATAAAAACAGATGACGGATGATGAAGGTAATAGTAATGATATTGATAAAATGATAAATTCAGGCTCATTAATTCCCATGACCTTCGCATGTGTAGTCATGAGTTAAGGCCACTCCACTACGACGTACACATCTCTATCAATTCTTTTTTCTAGCTGCCTGTACGACATGGGGGGACCCTCATTTTAGCTCGTTTGATGGTAGACTTTTTGACTTCGAAGGGGATTGTGACTATGTATTGGCGACTGATAGCGTGGACGAGAACTCCACAAATCCGTTCTTCCGCATTATCGCTTCCAATATTCCGTGTGGAAACACTGGAATAACCTGTACGAAGGCTGTAACTTTCACCATCGGTAAGTCTTATCTACTGTATGTATACCTTTATCATACCCCTATGACAAGCATCTGATGTCATAGAGAACGATTTTAAAATCCTTTTCAATCCTAACATTCTGTCTGGCCGGACAATTCAAGCACTCTACTTCCTAATATATGGACCTCAATCTTTTGGTACCAATCAATCGGGAGCTCTGACGTTGCTCCAGCAACAATATTGTTGTTCTGGGTTTAATTCTACAAAAGAAACAGGATTAGGGTTAAGGTTGCAACTAAGTTCTAGATTATGTGTTGGGTTATGATTAGGGGTTGCTATGGTGTTCGGTACATAGTTGAAGTTAAAATGGTTGCCAGGCATGTGTCGTACAATCGGTTTTAAGTGAGCTTAATCCATCCGTCGTCGACTTCTACAATAACATGCAACCCTATCTTATTAGAAAAAATGCCATCCTTACACAATGATATCATTGCTGCCGAAAATGTTCCATTGCTAAACTCCTTGTCGTCTCCTTTTCAATCAGGACGAGGGAGCAGTCAAGAGAAACTGCATCTCGTCCGGGGCAAACCGGTTCCCGCTTCAGCTGGCTCATTCAAGATCACTGAAGTTGGAAACTATGTACATGTCCAAACTACCATCGGAGTCGTACTTATATGGAATGGTGGTACGTGGGTCCAGGTCAAACTAAAGCCTGATTATAAAGAAAAGGTAATACAACATGTTTTCGTTTGGAATTGTCATTACTGTGAGATTAACTGGTGAATATGTTATATACAATAGTTGTTTTGACATAGAAATCAAACAAATGCAGATAAGCAAAACTATGAACTGTTCATGCTCACTTATGCACGGCCATTATTCTAATCATTCGATACCATCCTCAGTTTAGCAAATGGTGACTCTTCTTCAAACTGACTGATAACTAAAGCCCTGTTCATATTTGCCATCCATCCATTTTAAAAAATAGCCGCAAATGTCGAATATGAGAGCATGGCAATTAAGGAGCGATCTTTTTTAAGGAAACATTTTCTACTATGATATTCTTCATAGGTTGGAGGTCTATGTGGTAACTATAACGACCTGATCAACGATGACTTTATGTCTCCTGCTGGTGGCCTGCCAGAAACCTCAGCCCTGGATTTCGGTGACAGCTGGAAGGTAAAACAGATTAGTAGATTAGTAATTTAGTATTTTAGTCGTCCAAAAATTACCATAATGTCCCAAATGATACACAGCAATCATACCCACCAGTACCTAACGGCTAATGGTGAGCCGGCATCTGCTCCAGCGACAATTGCTAAAAGATCTATTTTTTCATCAACGTATAGGGATAGGGTTAGGGTTGCAATTGGGGTTTGGGTTATGATTAAGGTAAGGTATAGGGTTGGATGAAGGGTCAAAGTTGGGAATTTGTTTGGTGTAGGATATTGACGCGGAGCCATTCACGCATGAGCATATGTTTACAAGCCCTATAACGTCTGTTCTAAATATGAACAAAAATGACTTGAATGTACCAGTGTCATCTGATCCCAGCATGGCACAGCACCGAGAATTTCTTCCACCATTAACTCGATGCACATGTCAAACATAAGCCGAAATGATTGGCGCTCGCCTAATTAGTGTGGGTGAAGTCATCGCCAAGCGAGAAGCGTCTATACAGACGTGATTTCGCAAAGACGCATCTCGCCACGACACCTGCCGCATTATGTACCCTTAAGAAATTTGTTAACGACTTCACTGACACTTAGGCGGGTGCCGATGTCATCTACCAGTTAAGTAAGTACTCAGTACTTATAGTCTTTGAGCCTCATTACCGCATATCTTTAAAAATACATATATTTATATATATCTGACGTACGTGTGTGATAGTATTTCCATATCTTATTCCTATATATTATAAGTGTGCAGTCTGTATACGTGTGGCACATTATCACATACATGTATAGCCCTCATTGCTGTCTGTCCCTTTTCATTACGCAAAATATAGGTTCACAATTATTGCCCCCTGCCAGAGGAACCCATTTTTCCGTGCCTGCGAAACCCATCTCGCCGTGCTTGGGCCATGCGTCAATGCAGCGTGATTAAATCTGATGTCTTCAAGCCATGTTTCAGCCAGGTCAGTTACCTGCCGTACTATGCTAAATGCGTCTACGATTCGTGTGCCTGTGACTCTGGAGGAGACTGTGAATGCCTGTGTTCGGCCATTTCGGCATATGCCAAGGAGTGTACCGCTCAAGGCGTTCCAATCAAGTGGCGAACCAACGATTTATGTCGTAAGTATGGTTTAACTTCCGATTTCCACTTTTATTTCAACCCTGTTCAGCCGTCTTACTGTTCTTACTGTCTTCAGCTTTCTCTTTATCTTTTTCTCCAATACCCTATACTCTATTATCTGCTTCTCTCTATTTCTAAGTGTTCGTTACTTGGTTTCCCTATCCATGTATGCTACTGAGCTTTGTCGTCTACAATTGTGGTGTGCTTTCATTTCCTATTTCCTTGGTCAAAAACACCTAAGAATTTTGTTGAAACTCGGCTATATTATATTCATATTTGTAATGTGTTATTCTTTGTGATTCAAGATGTAATTTGACATTTTGTATATAAACTGAGCCATAGAAGGATGCTTATTTTTCTGCATGACCAATATAATTGATTGCATCTTTATCAGGGGCATAAATTGTCCAAAACATGAAAAATATCATGCTGCATGTCAGTGGCGTAATGAGCACAACAAATTTGGGGTCAGAACATAATCCGCATCACCACCAAGTAGCATAATGCAGGGGCGGTGGAGCGTCTTCCAAAGAAAAAAGGGAGGGGTGGGCACCAACAAAAAAAGAGCACTTTCGGGAAAAAAAGGGGGCACCTTCGAATTCTAAGGGAAACATAAAAAACATACACGATTCAGTTTTAGACATTGGTATAATACACCTACATCGGCATGATTGTACTTACACTACCATGGATAACATCAATATTTGTTTCTTTCTTTACGTGGTAAAGATACTAGTTAAGCAACATACTTTCCAGTTGGGTGTGATGGTCTGAATACTAATTTTCGAGCGAGCGAAGCGAGTGAGCAAAACTTTTAATATTTGCGAGGTTCCGATGCGAAAAATTACATCTTATAAACGAGACAAAAACAAACAAAGATGGGTATTAAGCACAATCTAATGAAGAAAGTTCTTTAAAGGTGAAATTCATAGAAAATCACAAATATGTCAACTTTTGTATCACAAGAAAATGGTAAGCTAACGGATGGCCATCGTAAAATTTTTGTGTCAACTACATATCGGGTGATTTATAAAAATACAAATACAACCACCTCCACAGTAGCTGGGATATACGAGAGATTCGCCGGAAAAATAACGATGTTTTAATGACGTCACTATATGGACCAACACTGCCCAAGCAGACGACATCCCATAAAGAATGAACATGATAGCAAAGCTATTATTTGTCAAATTATAATGAGTTTAGTGTATTTAAATGTAAAGGCATGTCAAACCATTCAAAGGGGGATATGACCCGATTCTGATAACAAAAATCTTTTGCTTGTAAATACACAGGATAGGAGTTAATTAACAATCAAAGAAACCAGACTTTCACATTGAAAACCCCCCGGAATGAAATAAGGACGGCATTTGTTCCAGGCTCTTGAAACGCCGAACATACCGCGGTGTGTGCAGCTGAATATACAATGGCGTCTTATTTTGTTTACAAACGACAGATTTCTTTATTTTTGTATCGCTGTATTTGTCATCAAAATAAAACCATGCGTGGGTTTTAGAGTGAGGCAATAGATTATACATTTAGCCTGACGGTAGTGAAGTAAGAGAAAGAACTCAAGAGAAGATGAAAATACAGGCACTGAAAATGTGTGAGATGTCATGGTACATCGTCTGCTTGTGCAAATCATGTCCATACTCTGATCTCACACATCTCAGCAGCGTTGGGAGAGCTCTTCAGGTGCTATGCCGGGGCTGTATTTAAGCGTTTTGTAATTTATAATAATCATTACTTCGAATGTTTCCAAGCATTGAATTTTGATAACCTTGTCGAATCAAAGTTTCAACTTTGCAATAATGAAAATAAAGTTAGTTTTTAAAATCAATGAATATCTAATTTAAGTAACATAATTATAACACCTATGAATGCGAGTGAGCGTAGCGAGCGAGCGATAGGGAAAATAACAGAAAAGGGGGCTCTAAGTAGCCTTGAATTAGGGTTGCATATTATGGAGAAACGAAAAGTGGGTGCTTATCAGAAGGGAAAAGGAAGTTATTAGAAAAGAAAAGGTGCTCGTATCAAAGCAAAAGGGGCAATTATCAGATGTGAAAATGGAACTTCTTGCACCTGAAAAGGGACACTCAACAGAGATGAAAAAAGGCAATTTTGAGAATGGAAATGGGAAATCTGTTGAAGAAAAAGGGCACCTATCAGACTATAATAGGGGCATTTATCAGATGTTAAAAGGGGCATTTTAAAAAGGAAGAAAGCTTCGATATTCCCAAGCTTTCTACCTACATTTGTGATCTCAATTTCTAACTCAGTTGTTCTCCCACCTTTGAGACTATTTCTTTAATATATCTGGGTGTTTTTTGTCGTAGTTTGTCTTGCTCTGTTGTAATCTTATTTTCGCTTTGAACTTTCCGCGCCACTGCCTCGATATCTACCTGGAGTACCCTCTCTGAATAAATTATCATGTTAGCACTCTTAAGATGGGTTGTATTCTTTATCTCTTTGTCTTTTATGGCACACCCTCATTGTTATGGCCGTAATGCATTTTATGGTGCATCATACTTTTATCACATCTCTTCCGGGTTATTCTCTCACTTTCCCCCACTACTCTTTTGAATGATTTCTCTTTCCTTGTAGCTATGCAGTGTGATGGTTGCAGAGAATACACTCCTTGTATCGACCTCTGTGACACATGCAGTCATCAGAACGATAGGGACGAGCAAGGTAACTGCCCACACACTTGTTTCGAGGGGTGCAGCTGCCCAGATGGAGAGTTCTACCACGGAGACCAATGTTTGGAGACCTGTCCTCCAGGTCCTCCAACAGGTACCCCGACACCTCCAACGGTCACAACCCCTTCCACCACCACTACCACCACACCATGGGTTACAACAACCACACCGACAAGTACTCCTTTCACTACAGGTAAGCATCAAACTATGAGGAGGTTGCTGTACTTTATACAGATCATGTGCATAAATCAACCCGTCTCCTTCTTAAAACGATGAAATTCATCATATCGATCACCATTGCCCATAAAACGATGATTTTCATCTTTTATAGACGCATGTTAGGCCGCCTTCGTGTACGTGTAGATCAAAACAACCCACACACGCACGTATATGAAGTATTAAACATTGTAAACCCAAGCCCACCCCCCAGCCTCCACCTGTCACTTTCACAAATCTTAGGGTTAGGGTAAGGGTTAGGATAAGGGTGAACTGTAGATGTCAGAGTAGACTCGATCGTTCTTTGCGTCAAAAACGAATCATCGTTTTTAGACGCAAAGAATTACGATCGAGTCTAATTGCATACACTTATGCTTAATATATTTCAGTGTTTTTTGTTAATGATTGGCAAACCTCCTTGCTTTTCTTTTGGTTGAAATAGTATTTCAGTGAAGTATGGGTTGTTACTCTGTTCTTTGTAAACAACTCTCGTGTGTTGATATAATTCTTTTATTGAGTAGGATCTACCCCTGTCTCATTCCTTTTCAAGTCTCTCTTCCTCTACCCATGTATGTAACACTCTTGCATCATTCTGAAACTCTTGTATTAGGAGGCCTGCAGCTGAAAGTCCTAACGAAATGTATTAGCCATTAAGACTGGATAAAAGGGAAATGTCCCAGGACTTGATTTCTTGAAGCAAGGATCCCATAACTGCTATCGTTGCTCTTCATTAAAAAATAGTTATAATATCCTCCTACAATTAAAATACCTAATAAAATTATAGCATGTGAAAAGATTTAAATCTTGAGTGTCATTTGTTAAAAATATCACACTAATTTCTTTATCGCTTTATAATACACAACCTCCAGTAGAATCAACAACACCGTGGTCAGAAACCACTACTCAACCTCCAGTAGCATCAACAACACCGTGGCCAGAAACCACTACTCAACCTCCAGTAGTATCAACAACACCCTGGCCAGAGACCACTACTCAACCTCCAGTAGTATCAACAACACCGTGGCCAGAAACAACTACTCAACCTCCAGTAGTATCAACAACACCGTGGCCAGAGACCACTACTCAACCTCCAGTAGTATCAACAACACCCTGGCCAGAGACCACTACTCAACCTCCAGTAGTATCAACAACACCGTGGCCAGAAACAACTACTCAACCTCCAGTAGTATCAACAACACCCTGGCCAGAGACCCCTACTCAACCTCCAGTAGTATCAACAACACCGTGGCCAGAAACAACTACTCAACCTCCAGTAGTATCAACAACACCGTGGCCAGAAACCACTACTCAACCTCCAATAGTATCAACAACACCGTGGCCAGAAACAACTACTCAACCTCCAATAGTATCAACAACACCCTGGCCAGAGACTACTACTCAACCTCCAATAGTATCAACAACACCGTGGCCAGAAACCACTACCCAACCTCCTGAAACAACAACTGCTCCACCGGGATCAACTACTCAACCTCCTGAAACAACAACTGCCCCACCAGGATCAACTACTCAACCTCCTGAAACAACGACGGCTCCACCGGGATCAACTACCACTGAGCCTGGAACGACGACTTGGGGTTGGTTATCTTTATCTGATTCTCTTATTAAATTCGATTCGGTCGCTGCCCGCAAGATGACTATAAAAGCTATTTTTGTCGATATATATGCATCTTCTGGACAACCGACGACTATCAAATTATTACAGTATTTAGTGTGTGTTTTTGTGTTTCTTGAAAGAAAATCATATTCAATTTGTATGTTTTCAATGTATGATAGGATGTAAATCATGTGATTGATTGACACGAGGCGTCATGTTATAAATCTATTGCTTCAGTGACTCGTTCGTTCTGTAATGCACCATGTGAGAATCATATTGATGTCAAGAGCGAATGCAAGTTTATAAGTTGTAAGCAACTGACTCAGCGATTACACATCATGTGCTAACGACAGGGTCATACACCAGTTCAAAAGTAAATATCTGGCACCCGATACTTTAGGCCGTCGTTAATCGTAGCCATTGAACCCTCCCCCTCCCACTAACACACACCCGCCCACTTTACCTTTAATACTTAAGCACCATTTCGACCCGGTTAGTACCAAATGGATTCTGTAGGTGCTGCAGGAAAGAATATCCACTCTGTATCACAAGAGAAGAAATAAAAAATGACAAGGCCTTATGAACTGGAGACTGGAGAAAACATCAAATGTCAATGGGAAAATCATTCACATGTAGGGCAAGGTTTATACTCGCATGTAAGATAAAAAAGTTATTTAAGAAAAAACAAGATTAAAAAAAAAAAATAACGTTATAATAAAAATAAATATTCAAGCCAATATAGTTTAAAAAAAACAAATGCATACTTGGCGATGAGAGATGCTGATCTCTTATTTAAAGAACGCTTAAATTATTATTTATAAAAACCTTTAAGGTTGCCTTGAAATGCATACAGACTAAGGTACTTGATGCCTATTAGGCAGACCGGTAGACACGAGTGATATTTGCAATAAAGTCATACTCGAAATGTACATGTATAACATTGGTCAGTAAAGTCGCCTAGTAAATAAAGATCAAAATGTGAAATTGATTCTTGACTCCTATAGGATGCAGAGAGGAAGTTGTATGTGAATGGACACCGTGGTGTGATGATGAAGCAGGCGGGGGTAAAGTGACCAACACGGATGAGGGCGAATTCGAGTACATAGAAGACTGCCGCGATCAATTTGACTTCTGTGAAGAGCCAACGACATTGAGTGCGAAATGACCGGTATACCCTATCTTAGTACCGATATGACCGGCCAGAATCTTATATGTGACCTCCTAGTTGGCCTGGAATGTTTACATACCCAAACTCAAACCTTCTGCTTAGATTACCGTATCAGGTAAAAGAAAAGTAAAGAACAAAATATTTGATGACTCTGAGAAAGAGGTGTGCAATTGCAGTAGAAGATCTTTTGTACATCTTACAGTCGGTTTATGATTGAGTGCAGAATCCACCGTTGAAATCAACGAAGAATATTCTTGTAAATTCATATTACATGTCCTTGTACAGTACCAGTGGATCATAATACGTTCGCCTCTTGCATGTTTTATTCTTTGGTTCATAGAACTAGAATCCACCAAGCAAATGAATTTATAAGATATTGTGATTTTTTTTTGGGGGGTGTGGTGGGTGGGTGGGGAAGTAGTAGTAATGCTTCTAGTAGCTAGCGTCCCTTTATAAATTTGTTACACAATTTATCCCGAACTTTTACCCTTCTGTTTCTCTGATTTACAGCTTTCCCAAACAGTAACTCCCTTCTTCTTTGTTTTCCAGCTCCTCCAAACTTTCACTCATCTGCTTCACCTATTCCCGCCTTCCCCAAACTTTTTCCCTTCTTCTTCTCTGGTGTTCAGCTTCCCTAAACTTCTACTCTACTGCTCCTCTGATTTTTCTTAGCTTCCCTAAACTTTTACCCTTTTGCTTCCCTAAACTTGTACTATACTGCTTCTCTGATATTTTTAGCTTCCCCAAACTTTTACTCTTCTTCTTCTCTAATTTTGAGCTTCCCTATACTTCTACTCTCCTGCTTCTCTGATTTTTTTGCTTCCCCAAACTTTTGCTTATCTGCTTCCAAAATTGTTCAGCTTTCCCAAACTGTTGCCCTTCTCCTTCTCTGATTGTTAGATTTTCAAAATTGTACTCTTCTGCTTCTTTAATTTTCCAGCTTCCACCCTGGTTAGCTTAACACGAGGGTTGTTTCCGTTATTTTACACTTGAAAATATTACATGACTTTCATGGATTGGGTAATGATTACAATAGAACCTGTATAACCCAAACATTGTCAGTATTTATACTGTAACTTGATATAAAATACTGTATTGCCATTTCTCTAGGTTCCTTTGCTGTAGAAACGTAACGATAGGACCAAACTGTTCAACGACCCCACCAGAATCGACTACTCAACCTCCTGAAACAACAACTGCTCAACCAGGATCAACTACTCAACCTCCTGAAACAACAACTGCCCCACCGGGATCAACCACTCAACCTCCTGAGACAACAACTACTCAACCTCCTGAAACAACAACTGCTCCGCCGGATCAACTACTCAACCTCCTGAAACAACAACTGGTCCACCAGGATCAACTACTCAACCTCCTGAAACAACAACTGGTCCACCAGGATCAACTACTCAACCTCCTGAAACAACAACTGGTCCACCAGGATCAACTACTCAACCTCCTGAAACAACAACTGGTCCACCAGGATCAACTACTCAACCTCCTGAAACAACGACTGGTCAACCAGGATCAACTACTCAACCTCCTGAAACAACAACTGGTCCACCAGTATCAACTACTCAACCTCCTGAAACAACAACTGCCCCACCGGGATCAACTACTCAACCTCCTGAAACAACAACTGCTCCACCGGGATCAACTACTCAACCTCCTGAAACAACAACTGGTCCACCAGGATCAACTACTCAACCTCCTGAAACAACAACTGGTCCACCAGGATCAACTACTCAACCTCCTGAAACAACAACTGGTCCACCAGGATCAACTACTCAACCTCCTGAAACAACAACTGGTCCACCAGGATCAACTACTCAACCTCCTGAAACAACAACTGGTCCACCAGGATCAACTACTCAAACTCCTGAAACAACAACTGCCCCACCAAGATCAACTACCCAACCTCCTGAGACAACAACTACTCAACCTCCTGAAACAACAACTGCTCCGCCGGGATCAACTACTCAACCTCCTGAAACAACAACTGCCCAACCAGGATCAACTACTCAACCTCCTGAAAAAACAACTGGTCCACCAGGATCAACATCTCAACCTCCTGAAACAACAACTGGTCCACCAGAATCAACTACTCAACCTCCTGAAACAACGACTGGTCAACCAGGATCAACTACTCAACCTCCTGAAACAACAACTGGTCCACCAGTATCAACTACTCAACCTCCTGAAACAACAACTGCCCCACCGGGATCAACTACTCAACCTCCTGAAACAACAACTGCTCCACCGGGATCAACTACTCAACCTCCTGAAACAACAACTGGTCCACCAGGATCAACTACTCAACCTCCTGAAACAACAACTGGTCCACCAGGATCAACTACTCAACCTCCTGAAACAACAACTGGTCCACCAGGATCAACTACTCAACCTCCTGAAACAACAACTGGTCCACCAGGATCAACTACTCAACCTCCTGAAACAACAACTGGTCCACCAGGATCAACTACTCAAACTCCTGAAACAACAACTGCCCCACCAAGATCAACTACCCAACCTCCTGAGACAACAACTACTCAACCTCCTGAAGCAACAACTGCTCCGCCGGGATCAACTACTCAACCTCCTGAAACAACAACTGCCCCACCAGGATCAACTACTCAACCTCCTGAAAAAACAACTGGTCCACCAGGATCAACATCTCAACCTCCTGAAACAACAACTGGTCCACCAGAATCAACTACTCAACCTCCTGAAACAACAACTGGTCCACCAGGATCAACTACTCAACCTCCTGAAACAACAACTGGTCCACCAGAATCAACTATTCAACCCCTGAATCAACAACTGCCCCACCGGGATCAACCACTCAACCTCCTGAGACAACAACTACTCAACCTCCTGAAACGACAACTGCTCCGCCGGGATCAACTACTCAACCTCCTGAAACAACAACTGCCCCACCAGGATCAACTACTCTACCTCCTGAAACAACAACTGGTCCACCAGGATCAACTACTCAACCTCCTGAAACAACAACTGCCCCACCAGGACCAACTACTCAACCTCCTGAAACAACAACTGCCCCACCAGGATCAACTACTCAACCTCCTGAAACAACAACTGGTCCACCACAATCAACTTCTCAACCTCCTGAAACAACAACTGGTCCACCAGAATCAACTACTCAACCTCCTGAAACAACAACTGGTCCACCAGAATCCACTACTCAACCTCCTGAAACAACAACTGCCCCACCAGGATCAACTACTCAACCTCCTGAGACAACAACTGCCCCACCAGGATCAACTACTCTACCTCCTGAAACAACAACTGGTCCACCAGGATCAACTACTCAACCTCCTGAAACAACAACTGCCCCACCAGGACCAACTACTCAACCTCCTGAAACAACAACTGCTCCGCCGGAATCAACTACTCAACCTCCTGAAACAACAACTGCCCCACCAGGATCAACTACTCAACCTCCTGAAACAACAACTGGTCCACCAGAATCAACTTCTCAACCTCCTGAAACAACAACTGGTCCACCAGAATCAACTACTCAACCTCCTGAAACAACAACTGGTCCACCAGAATCAACTACTCAACCTCCTGAAACAACAACTGGTCCACCAGGATCAACTACTCAACCTCCTGAGACAACAACTACTCAAACTCCTGAAACAACATCTGCTCCGCCGGGATCAACTACTCAACCTCCTGAAACAACAACTGCCCCACCACGATCAACTACTCTACCTCCTGAAACAACAACTGGTCCACCAGGATCAAGTACTCAACCTCCTGAAACAACAACTGCCCCACCAGGATCAACTACTCAACCTCCTGAAACAACAACTGGTCCACCAGGATCAACTACTCAACCTCCTGAAACAACGACTGTTCCACCAGGATCAACTACTCAACCTCCTGAATCAACAACTACCCCACCAGGATCAACTACTCAACCTCCTGAAACAACAACTGGTCCACCAGGATCAACTACTCAACCTCCTGAAACAACAACTGCCCCACCAGGATCAACTACTCAACCTCCTGAAACAACAACTGGTCCACCAGGATCAACTACTCAACCTCCTGAGACAACAACTACTCAACCTCCTGAAACAACAACTGCTCTGCCGGGATCAACTACTCAACCTCCTGAAACAACAACTGCCCCACCAGGATCAACTACTCTACCTCCTGAAACAACAACTGGTCCACCAGGATCAACTACTCAACCTCCTGAAACAACAACTGCCCCACCAGGATCAACTACTCAACCTCCTGAAACAACAACTGGTCCACCAGGATCAACTACTCAACCTCCTGAGACAACAACTACTCAACCTCCTGAAACAACAACTGCTCTGCCGGGATCAACTACTCAACCTCCTGAAACAACAACTGCCCCACCAGGATCAACTACTCTACCTCCTGAAACAACAACTGGTCCACCAGGATCAACTACTCAACCTCCTGAAACAACAACTGCCCCACCAGGATCAACTACTCAACCTCCTGAAACAACAACTGGTCCACCGGGATCAACTACTCAACCTCCTGAAACAACGACTGTTCCACCGGGATCAACTACCACTGAGCCTGGAACGACGACTTGGGGTTGGTTATCTTTATCTGATTCTCTCATTAAAAAAAAAATACTCATCGATTCGGTCGCTGCCCGCAAGATGACCATAAAAGCTATTTTTGTCGATATATATGCATCTTCTGGACAGCCGATGACTATCAAATTTTGTTATTACAGTATTTTGTGTGTGTTTTGTGTTTCTTGAAAGAAAATCATGTTCTATTTGTATGTTTTCCATGTATGATAGGATGTAAATCATGTGATTGATTGACACGAGGCGTCTTGTTATAAATCTATTGCTTCAGTGACTTGCTCGTTCTGTAACGCACCATGTGAGAATCATATTAATGTCAAGAGCGAATGCAAGTTTATAAGTTGTAAGCAACTAACGCAGCGATTACACATCATGTACTAACGACAGGGTCATACACTAGTTCAAAAGTAAATATCTGGCACCCGATGCTTCAGGCCGTCGTTAATCGTAGCCATTGAACCCCCCCCCCCCCCCCCCACTAACACACATCCGCCCACTTTACCTTTTAATACTTAAGCACCATTTCGACCCGGTTAGTACCAAATGTATTCTGTAGTTGCTGCAGGAAAGAATATCCACTCTGTATCACAAGAGAAGAAATAAAAAATGAAAGGCCTTATGAACTAGACTGGAGAAAACATCAATTGTCAATGGGAAAATCACTCACATGTAGGGCAAGATTTATACTCGCATGTAAAATAAACAAATTATTTAAGAAAAAACAAGATTTTAAAAAAAAATTACGTGATGATAAAAGTACAAAATAACGTTAAATATTCAAGCCAATATAGTTAAATGATAACAAATGCATACTTGGCGATAAGAGATGTTGATCTCTTATTTAAAGAACGCTTAAATTATTATTTATAAAACCTTTTAAAGGTACTATGTCCATTTTGCAGCCAACCTCAAATGCTGTAGAACTTTGCAGGAATTATGAATATGTCATGAATGTCCTATCCGTGAAATTTAAACGTTAGCAGTGTCCTCATATTCAAATTATGCAAGGAAACCCGTTTACTTGCTAGACTTCACTGTCAGACACTATTGAGTGACTGACTGGCTTTTTTCTTCTTTGGTAATAACATACATGAAAAGAGTTGTAAAGGGTACATGAGCATTTGTCTACATCAATAACCCACTTCTTGTGATGGCCAAGATTAAACTGATTAAATCTTTGCACAGCATAAAACGTATGACCATTCGGTACAATTGTCTGAAAATCAAGACTATTACTTTCGGGCTCTATAGCCCTAAAGTCGATTTGACAACTAATAGTCTTTATTTTCCCACTTGAAGAAATTTTCAAGCCCCACCTTTTTTAGGGAAGTTCTAAATTAGTATTATCTTTCAAATTCAGTTGGAATTTAACTTTTTCATTTTTTGGCCTGCAAATGGTACATAGTACCTTTAAGGTTGCCTTGAAATGCATACAGACTAAGGTACTTCATGCCTATTAGGCACACCGGTAGACACGAGTGATATTTGCAATAAAGTCATACTCGAAATGTACATGTATAATATTGGTCAGTAAAGTCGTCTAGTAAATAAAGATCAAAATGTGAAATTGATTCTTGACTCCTATAGGATGCAGAGAGGAAGTTGTATGTGAATGGACACCGTGGTGTGATGATGAACCAGGCGGGGTAAAGTGACCAACACGGATGAGGGCGAATTCGAGTACATAGAAGACTGCCGCGATCAATTTGACTTCTGTGAAGAGCCAACAGACATTGAGTGCGAAATGACCGATAGACCCCATCTTAGTACCGATATGACCGGCCAGAATGTTATATGTGACCTCCTAGTTGGCCTGGAATGTTTACTTACCCAAACTCAAACCTTCTGCTTAGATTACCGTATCAGGTAAAAGAAAAGTAGAGAACAAAATATTTGATGACTCTGAGAAAGAGGTGTGCAATCGCTGTAGAAGATCTTTTGTACATCTTACAGTCGGTTTATGATTGAATGCAGAATCCACCGTTGAAATCAACGAAGAATATTCTTGTAAATTCATATTACATGTCCTTGTACAGTACCAGTGGATCATAATACGTTCGCCTCTTGCATGTTTTATTCTTTGGTTAATAGAACTAGAATCCACCAAGCAAATGAATTTATAAGATATTGTGATTTTTTTTTTTTTTTGGGGGGGGGGGGGGGTGGGTGGGGAAGTAGTAGTAATGCTTCTAGTAGCTAGCGTCCCTTTATAAATTTGTTACACAATTTATCCAGAACTTTTACTCTTCTGTTTCTCTGATTTAAAGCTTTCCCAAACAGTAACTCCCTTCTTCTTTGTTTTTCAGCACCTCCAAACTTTCACTCATCTGCTTCACCTATTCCCGCCTACCCCAAACTTTTACCCTTCTTCTTGTCTGGTGTACAGCTTCCCTAAACTTCTACTCTACTGCTTCTCTGATTTTTCTTAGCTTCCCCAAACTTTTACCCTTTTGCTTCCCTAAACTTGTACTATAACGCTTCTCTGATATTTTTAGCTTCCCCAAACTTTTACTCTTCTTCCTTAATTTTGAGCTTCCCTATACTTCTACTCTTCTGCTTCTCTGATTTTTTTTGCTTCCCCAAACTTTTGCTTATCTGCTTCCATAATTTTTCAGCTTTCCCAAACTGTTACCCTTCTCCTTCTCTGATTGTTAGATTTTCAAAATTGTACTCTTCTGCTTCTTTCATTTTCCAGCTTCCACTCTGGTTAGCTTAACACGAGGGTTGTTTCCGTTATTTTACACTTGAAAATATTACATAACTTTCATAGATTGGGTAATGATTACAATAGAACCTGTATAACCCAAACATTGTCAGTATTTATACTGTAACTTGATATAAAATACTGTATTGCCATTTCTCCAGGTTCCTTTGCTGTAGAAACGTAACGATAGGACCAAACTGTTCAACGACCCCAACAGGATCAACTACTCAACCTCCTGAAACAACAACTGCTCAACCAGGATCAACTACTCAACCTCCTGAATCAACAACTGCCCCACCGGGATCAACCACTCAACCTCCTGAGACAACAACTACTCAACCTCCTGAAACAACAACTGGTCCACCAGGATCAACTACTCAACCTCCTGAAACAACAACTGGTCCACCAGGATCAACTTCTCAACCTCCTGAAACAACAAGTGCCCCACCAGGATCAACTACTCAACCTCCTGAAACAACAACTGGTCCACCAGGATCAACTACTCAACCTTCTGAAACAACAACTGGTCCACCAGGATCAACTACCCAACCTCCTGAAACAACAACTGGTCCACCAGGATCAACTACCCAACCACCTGAAACAACAACTTCCCCACCAGGATCCACAACTCAACCTCCTGAAACAACAACTGGTCCACCAGGATCAACTACTCAACCTCCTGAAACAACAACTGGTCCACCAGGATCAACTTCTCAACCTCCTGAAACAACAACTGGTCCACCAGGATCAACTACTCAACCTCCTGAAACAACAACTGGTCCACCAGGATCAACTACTCAACCTTCTGAAACAACAACTGGTCCACCAGGATCAACTACCCAACCTCCTGAAACAACAACTGGTCCACCAGGATCAACTACTCAACCTCCTGAAACAACAACTGGTCCGCCAGGATCAACTACTCAACCTCCTGAAACAACAACTGGTCCACCAGGATCAACTACTCAACCTCCTGAAACAACAACTGCCCCACCGGGATCAACTACTCAACCTCCAACAACAACTGGTCCACCGGGATCAACTACTGAACCTCCTGAAACATCAACTGCGCCACCAGGAACAACTACACAACCTCTTGAAACAACCATTATTCAAGATTCAACCACATCCCATCCACCAACAACCGGTAATCGTAGGCATTTAAGTATTTCCAAATTACTTTTTTCCTATCCGTTTTTGACTTTCAAGGATCACATTCTCATGCTAATGTTTATAACTTTGCTGTTTGACACGAAGTGTTTTGAAGTGTTCTTTTCCAAAACAAAGACAAAAGAAACATTGCCGTTTTTCTGGGCTGTCGCCACGGCAAACCTTAACTTTGCCTTATATATTGCCTTTGCCTTATCTGTTACCGTTTTGGCACGAAAGATAGTTTGAGAAATAGATCGGTGTTAACTAGCATATTCTCCCCTGTGCATCGTTTCACTGAACCGTCATAAGTACAACTTCACAGACAACACGTGTGTGAAAATTGACACACGTTTCAATGGAACGTCGGCGAACTGGTTCTTAAGACGGTTTCCTTCGTGAAACAATACTCATAAATTCAATGCACACTACTAGATAAATGCGGTATGTGAGGAGTAGGTGCAGGTAAATATATCAGACATTCCTTAGTTCTTTCCCTTTTTACGACTGGCATTGTGTTTGATTTTACCCTATAACAGATAATGTTACAACCACCGCCGCAACCTCCACCTCCATGTCTACCACGCCACCACCTTCTGACTGCAGCCCTCGACTGATGAAAACTCCCGCAGAGATATCGTATAGGAGCTGCGTTCCAGTGGAGCCATTTTATATGATGGAGTGTGCAGGAACGTGTGATTCCAGTCTCTCGGTGAAGGTAAATCTGTAACATTTAATATAGGCCCCCAGTACAAAGGGTAACTTGGTTTTTAGAGTTTTTGAAATAATATTTTACAGAAATCGAGGTTTTTTATTTATGCTTCCTCGCCTTGCTTGCTTGTAAAATCTAAATACGGGGTGATTCTTGGCACGGGATGCCCGATAGTCCCCATTTTCGGGCAGTATGCATTTTGATGACAAGGCCGGTACTAGGGACTTTAACTACCTCCGGACAACTACCCCTGGACAGCTACCCCCGGACAACATACCCCCTAGGATAGTTGTAAGGGGTAGTTGTCCTAGAGGATGGTTGTCGTAGGGGGTAGTTGTCTGGGGGTAGTTGACTGGGGGTGGTTGTCCGGGGGTAGATCTCCAGCGGGTAGGTGGCCTAGAACCTCTGAACGATCCTTATTGGAGTAATTCGAATTAATTTTGTAATTTTGTTTTCAATGATCGGTTTCCTTGCAAGCAAGGGGGGGGGGTGTATTTGTACATGCCATCCCCCTCGCTCAAAAGCATATACACCCCTATCCCCATTATTTAAAGTAGAAGAAAAGGAAGTTATTTGAAAGGGAAAGAAAGATGAGTCATAGAACTTAATAACAATACGCGGTTAAAGAGTCAGACAAGTAACATAAAGAAATTAAAAATGAGAGGATGATATAGTTCACTCTCTTACAACCGCTTTAGGTGCCCGATGATAATAACAATAACATAATCACATCATTTTCATTATCATTATCAAATAAAAAATATGTCTTTATACCACCTTGAATAATCATTCAATTTCTATCACATTCAGATCGTTGATGGAGTGGTATCGATAGACTATGAATACTGTTCCTGCTGTCGACCTTCGAACTTTCTAGAAAAGACGACCGAGCTGATATGTCCTGATGGAACTAACCTTTTAATTTCGGTTCCCGTCATTACCGACTGCTCCTGCCACCAGACCCAGTGTGCTTCCTCAACCAATGCAGCATATGGCTCGGTCAATACGATGACTACTCAATCACTTACTTCACCTAGGCTTGCTATGCGATCCACCCCGTTCGAATAGGTAGTACTAAAACACATAAGTCCAAGTTTCAATAGAGTCCCCAACTGCAGAAGAACCATTGAGGAATTTTATTTTGTAATCACTTAACTTTACATCGGTTCCTTTTTCATGTCACTAGTCTGATTTAACCTTTTGTCTACTGAATTCTTATATTTCCATAGGTTCAATACAGGAACCCTCTGGGAGGCGTTTCACAAAACTTGTCATCAGTGACAAACGACAAGTTGTTTTATAATCTACTGAAATCCTTGCTTATGATTGGTTATCAGCAGATTTGTCACTGATTGTTGTTATTTTTCATTGAAAAAAGGCTTTGTGAAACGCTCACCTGGTTGTAGTAGGCAATGATCAGGAGTAAGTTTTTTTTATTTAAGAGAAGATAACAGAAAGTCAAGTAATAGATGAAATACATAAGCAAGTTATGGAATTGGGGTGTGACCAAGTCCTGATTTCGTTGGTCTACAATAACGTACAAACAGTCTTCCTTGTGATTTATTATTGACGTGTCACGGTATAGTGGTTCACTCACTTGACTCTCAACTCAAGGGTTAAGGGTTCAAATCCCAGCCCGACATTAATGTTATTTGGCAAAACGTTAATCCACATTTGTCACTCTTCAACCAGGTGTAAATGGATACCTGGCAATTGTTGGAGTAATAATGATTGCAGGATTGGATTGATGTGGTTATCCGCAGTAAATAAGACTCAATTATTATATTTGTCATTATTTTATTTTATGTGCAACCACGCGTGTCGCACGGTGGAATGGTTTGCCTATCAATTGTAATATTTAAAAACATGAATATACAACAACAACAAATCAAATGTATTCAGAATGTCGTGTGATTTGTTCATGTACCGTTACCTATCAAATTACATAAAATGTCATGAGCATCTTTCCAGTAATAAATTTTGTGGGTTTAACTAAATTATCCGCCTATGAACTGATTGTATATGCGAACTGGCGTGTTATGTGTAGGTAAAAAAATGTTAACATGTCCATAATTCCACTCTTGAACTCTTTAATTTGTTTCCAGGTTTTTCTTAATGTTGAGCAGTTAACATATTTTTTCATCTGACGTTGAATGTATAAATGCTAAACACATATCTGTTGCCCAAATTTGAGATGAGTCCGTGAGGAACCAAGATTAATACTCTTTGAAACGATTTTTAAATAACAATTGATGTCGAATATATTTTCGTGGACTTGTTTATCTACCAGGATCTACTGCTCCATTTATCTGTTAAATGTAGAAAAAAGGAAGATCTGGGAAGATTAGTATTTTCTGTGGAATAAGACTGAATTTGTTTTGCTCTTTTTTTTTTGTTTCTGTTGAAAAGTAGATTTAAAAAAAAAATTGTAATAATTGGTTAGGAATTGTAGAAACTTTTAGAATTTGAATGAAGAAAAAAAGGATTATAAAGTATGAAATGACATTATGGCATTGATTACCTGACGTAAGTTATAAATAACACCTACCTTTCATTAAAAAAATCAATACAACACGAAGTTGAAACAAAGAGTATAAAGTAAAAACGCAAGAGCGCACACGTTGGCCAACTACTGCCATACAAACATTTCAAATACCCGAGTCATACCGCCAGACCGACTCCACACTGACTCGAAACCGACAGATTTAGGTCATTGGGGGTAACGTAATTTTCTGTTCGGTTTGTTGTCGGTCTGGTGTTGGTCTCGTTGGTGAGACTTGGGTATATAAAGTCCATTCTAATTACACTGTGATACTGGGTGTTTGGAATTCTATTGATGAATGTATAGTTAAGATATTTAAAGAAGATTAACATTCAATTCTGTATATTTTGGTGCGAGGGATTGTTTGAACTTGTCTCATCTGACATCACTGAGATATATGATGGCATTTCTTTTTATTAATTTGAAGAAACAGAACATGGAACCATTGTTCTTTCTCTCCACGTCAAGGAGGCTTTCGAAAAATCTCCAAGAAAAAGTGTTTATTTGCTCCTTTGACCACTGGCGATGTGGATGGGCGGGCACAACCGGCTCATTCCCCTATATGAAGTGGCATACACAAATCTAAGAATAAGCCAAAGAATAAGCCCCCCCCCCCACGCCCCCCCCCCATTACCTTTTAAGTTATTGCTGATTTTTCTTTCTAATTCGTTGTGCAATGTTGAGCTTGTCCGCATTTGTAGGAATATTTTGCCTGTATTACACAATCCTTGATCATCCTCTGTCTCTGACCGGTTATATAAATAGAAGACTAAACATTATTTGGAACTTATGAAATTACGAGTGAATTCCCTGACCTGGCAGCCTCCTTTGTTGAAAACAAATGCTATTCTGAGGTGCATTTAAACACTTTTGTTTATTAAGACGTCAATTTTTTTTAATGGCTAGATTGGTTGTATATTGTTCCTCAATAATATATCATGCGCCATCGTTCCAAAAAATACAATGTTTCTGAAAACAAATATATGAAAATAAATTTTGTCTAAAATTCGAGAAAAAAAATTGCCAATTTTGAAGAAAAATATGGTTTTGAACTTCTAATTTGTCTGCCAATATAAGAATTTTAAAGCTAATTTTCTTATCAAAACTTCCTGACATTTAAGTAAGAATTTTGTCCCCTTTTTCATGCATCTTGTGTTTTTTTTTTTTTTTTTTTTTTTTTTTTTTTTTTTGGGGGGGGGGGGCTCTTTTTAAGAGTTACTAAGCCAAACCACGACATTGGAAACGCTTATCCTGAAAGGGTTATTAAAATATCCTTTGACACCCATTATGAACCATTGGTTTTCCCCAGTTATCGAATGTATATTGAGCAGATATACTGAAATGTGTCATTCTCAAACAGCAAAACACAATTTTTCAAAATGAAAGAAATGGGCTATTTTAAATGGGGGAAACAACAAAATGCTTTTTTGATGTGCATAAACCGATGCTCTTTAAGGTATTAAATTATTAATGTTTGTTTCGAGACCCAGTAAGATATATTACATGTACACTGAACATATCGCATGAAATTTTTCTTATTTTAACACATGGAAACACAAACATTCAGTTGTACGTATTGGGGTCATTCTATTGGTAAGACAATAGAAACTTATATTTTGAAACCAGTATTTTATGAATTATGCATGATTGTTTATAAATTGACAAACTAATTACGAGTGCCCTATTAACTATCTATTTGTAATTAAAAACTCTTTTAGAACTACTTCAGCTGCATAACAAACAATTGTGTTCGAGTGTCTTTCTTGTTTCAATGAAGAACGTGATGTATGATGTCCGTGTTTTTGCGAGAGGATTGTGTATCAAAGAAGAAAAGAGGGAAATAAAATGTCGAGATTTTCAGGCAGGAAGCAGATAATATTCATAGCAACTGAAATTAGTCATTGTTTTTACACAAACGGACAAAGCGATAGAAAGTTGTGATTTATTTACTCTTTACTTGCTTGAGTTGACTAATGGATCGCACCATGGACCGTCACAGTAGACTTTTGTCACAAGTGCAATGTTTATTTACAATTTTTCCAAAGTATTGTGGCAGTAGAAGGTTTCATTCAACCCGTAGCCGATAAAAAGACGTTTTGAGACAGCTATCCATTCTGGAAAAAAAGATATTATAGACATTTTGATAACGAAATGTACACATTAATGATATAAAATATAAACTAATATGTATTACTTTCACACAAGTTAGAGACCCTATTAACCATACATTATTTGTATAAAATAATATTTTTTAAATAGCCTTGTTCACAAAATGATAAAAACCGATTGTCCATGTTATTCCGTAACAAAGAATGTAAAATTCAATATTTCATAAATTTGATGATTGCTTGACATAAAACCTAAATATTGTGAAAGTAACTCATATTTATTATACGGTTTTATCAAAATGTCGAGGATATCTTGAAAATTCTGTAACACTTGGTATCAACCTAAAGTCAATATCACGCATGATGTACCGTAGTTACTGCACTCGATGATATTCCAACACGAAAAGAGCTAAACCTGGCAATTGTCTCCTTGTGTGATGGCAAGGCCCCCGGAGTGGATGGGATACCAAGCGAGATATGGAAGCACGGAGGAGCCACACTAACCAACAGTTTACTAATGCTGATACAACAAGCATGGGCAGAAGGCTCCGTACCTCAGGAATGGAAGGATGCTAATATTGTCACCATCTTCAAAAAAGGAGATAGAACTCAATGTGGAAACTACAGAGGAATATCGCTATTGTCAATAGCAGGGAAAGTTTTTGCCAGGATCCTCCTTAACAGATTGAATGCCCACATAACACCAGATATATTGCCAGAGACGCAATGCGGATTCAGAAACAACCGGAGCACTGTAGACATGATCTTCTGCCTCAGACAATTACAGGAGAAGTGTATCGAGCACAACCGATCCCTCTATGTGGTTTTTGTCGATTTCACTAAAGCCTTTGACATTGTTGGTAGGACAGGTCTTTGGCAACTACTCCGGAAGTGTGGAAGTCCCGAGAAGTTCACCCGAATGATAGAGTCCCTACATACGGGTATGATGGCTAAAGTCAAGGAAGCAGTTGTTGTTTCAGGAGGTTGAGTAGTTGCGCCAAAGTGATATGCCTACCGGCTGTATGATGTTGGGATTAGCGCAGTGAGAGAATGAATTGAATGTATCAAATGAAATGCATTGCATAATTATGCTTTTTGTAGAAGCAAAGTCACACACACAAAGACACACGCGCTCTGTGCGCATACATGTTCGTTGATATTTGATGTTCAATATTTGATATGTGTGGCATGATCAATTTTGTTAGGGATGTTAATTGGATCGGCAAAAACCGAATTAATTACCAAATCCCAATTGTTTTATTCAAACATCACATAAGCAACATTGGCGCAAGTCGATATTTGCACTCTTGCAAACAATGCCTACTGTTCATTCAAGCGTGAACACATTCCACACAAAATGATACCAAATGATTCAGGATACAAACACTCTTTCATTAGATGTATAATAATTTACTGTTCATAGATGATTTTTAAAATAATTAGCAATATTCTAGGTGTAAACTTTTTTTTGACTCACACTGTATAGGGATTCTCATATTGGCAATGTGATAGGTCTAAGCCTGGTCAATGACGTTTGCTGGTTTGATAGTTAGTTTTTAACTGACTCTGCTTCTATAATGATAGTACACAATTTTCAATAATTTATTGCATTTTACCCCGGTTCCCAACATAAAAAAATCTTCTGTGTG